ATCCACTCAAGAAAGATTTTAAAGCTAGTTTATTATACAAATTTCTTTTCAATAAAACTGCGGGTCCTGGAGTTTCATGAACATCAATATATGAACACAATAAATTCAAAAGCTGAAGAACGCGATCGAAAAATTGCTGGGGCTTCTCATTCGGAGATTGCCTAACCATTACCAAATCTCTATTGAGACAAGCCTCATCTCTTTGATCTGCGAAATTACGATACAAGGTATTTTTTAATTCCTGCCAATTGCTAACATTTTGAATATTTACCATTAATCGGGCATTGCCGGTCAATTTGCCAATCAGTGAGTGAAGTAAAAAGGTATTCAAGAAGTTATTTGCATTAGTATTATCATAAAAATTATTGATTATACTCTCACAAGTAACAAGAAATCTGTTCAGTTCATTAGGGTTCCCGTCAAATTCAGGGACACATTTCAAATAATCGGGTTTGAAATCCTGAGGAGCCATATTTGGGTGATTGATTATTAATTGATTATCACTATCGCTATTACTAGTAGTGTGTGTATTTGAAAAATTATTATCTGGACCGTCTGAGTCAGAAGAAGACGTTGCCAAAGATAGATTCTCAAAAAGCTTTTCCAAGTTTGAAGACATGTACTGTACTCACAATATAAAGATGACTTTGCTCATCGTTCACCTAACTTATGAAGGAATTGCCGGTTCTGCTGCTGTGTCTTCACCTGGTCAATTGCCTCGCAGAGAAAGACGATTTGTGTTCTTTCCCTCTTCGGTTGGTTCTGGTTGATTTCCACTGGATAGGTCCTCGATGGACTGGGTTGCCTGAAGTTCAAGGAGCCACTCTGTCCGACGAAAATGTCCGAAAACCACTCGAAAGTTCTTTGAAATAGCCGGTTAATTGTAGAAACAAAACTAATGCACGATGCACTAATCCCGACTATCCTACCGACTGCGCCAATTTTATTTTTGAACTAGCAAAGTCTCTTTTTAAAAAACAATTTATTTGTCAAAGTACAAAAGCAGAGCGAATTTTATGAGATGTTTCTCGTACAAAGTTATAAGTCTGACTGAATGTTGGAATGAACAAATGCAACAAGATGATTTTGAAGAGTCAGCGAAATCTAAGAGGTCCCTGGGAACGTCGGTGCAGAATCTTCAGTTCTTAGGAAGCTTATGGGCACCGGTGATATAATTCATGAAAAAAATCAGAATAATCGAAGGAGCTATTGAAAAGTTGTGATCAAATTCACCCTATGTATTGAAAAAAAAAAGAAGAAGACACTTTCTGATGGTTATTAGGTATTCCTCTCAAAGGCCTCTATTTGTGGTAGGAGTATATGTACAGTTCCTCATGACCCGAGTATATTGAATTCGAAAATATTTCCATTGGTTGTTGAGAAATAAAACAAAAAACACTAATGGTGCTTACCCGTATGTCACGTCATCAAGATATACCAGGTGACCCATCGCAGACGATCTCCGTTGTGTTGCAATTAATGAATAATTGCTAGGACAGAGGTCGATTTCAATTTGCCGGGAACTCGTATTTTTCTGCAATTATCATATTACAAAGTTGAAGCGTAACGGGCACCAACTTTCGATACGTTTCGACCATTCATCTTTGTAGATCAACTTTATCAGTACTATGACTGATGATGACATGTCTCAATCAAGAGTAATGAAGCCAAATTAAGTGCACATTTCGCCAGTAAATTTGTGGAGACTTTGAGTTTTTTTCTCGTTGAGGTTTTCTATTTGCTCAAATATCCTACATCATTTTAATCGAATAGATTAGATGAAACAGGCCATAGCGTTCAGGGCTTTTCGGGAAAATTTTGGGATATTTGACATTGACCTCACGTTAGCCCTAATTGCAACACAACAGAGAAAATGTGGATCGTCTTCGATGGGCCACCCAGTATTAAATCTTCAACTGTGTTGAAAGCTTGGTTTTTGAGAGGTGATTATTTTGATTATTGAAGAAACATATATGTGATGATTTTGAATAATGAGAGACTATCAAAAACTATTAATACATGGAATGATCAAAATAATTGTGATATAAACGTCCTTTTAGTAAGGAGTGTTCAATAAACGAGCGTCTAGAGGAGTTTATACACACTTTACATACCATACTTTTTCTACGAACTCATTTTGGAAGTTGATATCTCTCATATCATCATTGATGCCAAAATTGACAGATCAATCTGTAGTCTTTCAGGTGGGTTTTCATAACTTATTAAACCATTGAAATCAAACAGTAAACCATAGTCACATGTTTAAAAAACTGTGTTGCCATAGTAATGTGTTGAATATTTTGAATTAATATAATTAATATGTACACAAATTTATTACAAGCAATAAGCCACAAATCAAAAGGGCACATTTTGAGACAATTGAATTTTCATTGCTAATTAGGAATATTACCAATACTATTGAGAAATTATGAATGATTGAATAACTAATATTTCTGAAGTTCCCAATTCTATTTCAACATATGGTAACTGTGCTATGGTCTGCCCCTACTTAAAAAACCCTGGCGTCAGTTTTAACTGGCCGTAAATTTCTGGCCGTTTGAAAATTATCGTGACATTATTAATGATTTTCTGAAAATCCAACCGAAAAATTCCTAAAAATTATAGAATCGAGAGGTATTTGAGTGATGATTATATTCAAGAAATAAATTAAAAAAAGTGAGTAAAAAAAATATATCCAGTGTGCCCAAGATGAGGAGGGCCAGTATGGGCATCTCGGAAACTACGAGAGATACAGATTTGGTTTAATGGGAGAAAAATGACCTTGAAAAATATCTGATATGACTTTTCGTTTTTGAGTTATTTCCAAAAAACTGATTTTCAGGATTGATGGTTGCTCAAAGATGAAATGTTGGATCATAAAATCGAAAGCATCAAAAGCTGCCATGAAGATGTTTTTTCAGTTTTGTCATAACTTCATTATCAACGCCAGGAGAAAATAAAATTGAAAATCTGGAAATTCAGTTTTTTTGGAAATAACTCGAAAACGTAGTCATATCAGAAATTTTTGACAATCATTTTGTTGGTCCTTCACTCGTGCAACTTTCCTCCCATTCAACCAAATCTCCTCATCTTGGTCACAGTGTACATGGTGTAAATTCCACTAGTGTTTAGGTACAGGGTGCGCCTCTTAAAATGGAACCCTCCCTTAACTCTTTTGTTTTCGGAGATATGAAAAAATGTTAGATAAAAAAGTTGTTTGAAACGACCCAAACTTTCATTTCGTGAAGTTGTTTCATGTACAGGGTCATTCGTTTTTCCAGAAAGGACATCAACTTTGATTTTTTCAATGGAACACCCTATATTTTTTCCAACATGTCCATAGAGCTTTTTTTTTCTGATTCCAGAAATATATATGAGTTGCATACTCGGATGAAAAATAATTGAGTTATTGATGATCAAAGTTTACCAAAACACCGCTTTATGAAGTGAGTGAAGGTTCACTTCATAGTTAATATCATCTAATGTAAATTGAACATAGTGCGCTTTGAAATAATGTTTATAAATTGTTTGAGCTCCATGTTTATTATGAATTTAAAAACATACGATTTCTATAGAAAAAAAAAGGGTTACAGTTTGAATGAAAGATGCGAAATTTTGGAAATAAACATTTCTTGTGGAAAAAATGCAACCGCTGCTTATTTGTTTCATGAAATAATTGAAAGACATAATCGCGATGAAAATTTTACCAAGAATATTTTATTCACGGATGAGTGTTCATTTTCAACTTCAGGAATGTTTAATAGTAAAAATGAGCATAGCTGGGCTACGGTTAATCCGAGAGTAATGAAACCAATTAAAAAACAAGGCCGGAGAAGTGTAAATGTCTGGTGCAGTGTTATTAACACTGAAGTAATTGGTCCCATCTTCATTGATGGTAGTCTTACGGGGCAAAAATATTTGGATATGCTGCAAGGTGATATTGAAAACTTGCTTGATGAAGCAATCCCTTTGAATAGACGAAACCAATTGATATGGCAGCAGGATGGTGCTCCTCCTCAAAATGGAATTGAAGTCACGAACTACCTCAATGAGAGTTATGACACTTGGATTGGAATGCGAGGACCAATTTGTGATTTTTTCCTGTGGGGAGCGCTGAAAGGCAAGATCTTTAAACATGACATTCCAGATCCTGATTTCTTGAAAAAGAAAATAACAGAAGAAATTCAATTATTGAATAATGATCCAATATTATTTGAAAGGATTCGCCAAAATTTTATAGCAAAGTGCCAACTCTGCATTGACCAGAATGGCGGAATTCTTGAAAATTTGTTGTAGATAGCTCTAATGTGTATTCACAATCTCATATAGTTCATTCAATAAATATAGTTTTTAAAGATTCATTCAAGTTTTGTTGTCAAGAACTCTTGATGCTATTTCGACATCTACTCATGCGTTACTGTTATAGTGTGATACCAAATCTATCCACATAATGATTTGTAGTTTATATTTAGTAAAGTCCACTATGTTTAACTATGATATAAAGTGAGAATTCATAAAGCGGTATTTTGGTCAACTTTGATCATCAATAACTCAATTATTCTTCATCAGAATATGCAACTTCCATTGAAAAAATCAAGGTTGATGTTCTTTCTGGAGAAACGAATGACCCTGTATATGAAACAACTTCACGAAATAAAAGTTTGGGTCGTTTCAAACAACTTTTTAATTTAACATTTTTTCATATCTCCGAAAACAAAAGAGTTAAGGGGGATTCCATTTTAAGAGGCGCACCCTGTACAACCCCATTCTAATTATGTTAAAACTTTGTGTATCCCCTCCACATGCATAGAAAGTTAGAAAAACTAGAATATCAGCAACAAATGCCAAATAAAATACTCACCGTGCTAACGGCCCCCCTATCTCTTGTACCGATCCTTCCCGACCCGCTGCTCCACGTCCATCCACTCAGGATCATTCGGATCCTCCTCTTCCTCCTCTTCATCCTCCTCCTCATCCTCCTCCACCTCTCCATCCCCCACGGCCGATTCCGTCGACTCGCTGTCCGGCGAACCGGCCCTCTCTGCCCGCTCCTCCGAGCCTGCGCCGTAGCTGGACAAGCGCTCGTCTGCGGTAGGACAGACGGCGCGCGCATCCTGGGATCGGGCGTTCGTCCGACACCGCGAGTGATTCTCGGGCATGTGGTCGAGCATTTGGGAGTAGGTGGCGTCGTCGATGGGGAAGGTCCGCGCCTCGTACGGGGGCACCTTCGTGAGAAATCAACATACAGGGTGTTTCAGACGATAGAGGACAATGATATAGCTATAACAACATTCGTAGACATAGAAGGTGCTTTCGACAACGCACCAACAAATTCTATAATCAACGCCCTAGCAAGGAAAGGAGTACCACTACTCCTGTGCCAGTGGATAAATGTCACTTTGAAAAATAGGGTTATCATATCAACAATTGGCTTATATCACAAAAAAATTGTATTTCATAATTCGATAGAACTTACCCAAACTAGCTCACCACCGCAAACCGTTTCTTGCTGTGAGCTCCCTACGTTTTATAAAAAATTATTGAAATCCCCGATTTTTCGGACCTCTGAAAACGAGGCGATGATATGACGTCAAAACCCTCATACTGAAACAAGCCTATTCCAGACAGAGATGAATGATACATGATTACATGAGTTAAAAGTTCTACTAAGGTGTACAGGGTGGCCAACTAAGAATCCAGAGTTCGATAACTCTGTTGTCTTGAGAGATACAAAAAAAAGTCATGTATCAAAATTGAAGTAATAACTGAGTTCCACATTTCGAAATTTCTTTGAAATACACAGGGTGTTCCGTAAGGTCACAGCACATCAAAGCTATGTTTTTTTCCTTGAAACACCCTATATTTTATTCCATTTTTGAATTCTCCCTGAAGATCTGATTTCAACGACCCATCATACTCAGGGTCAAGCAGTGAAAATTACTGACATATAGGGTGTGCAAAATCGAGATTTTCCAAGTTCAGGATCTTTTTCTGTCGAAACTGTTCATTATTCGTCAAATCGGTTCACATGTCCCAATCTCAACTTTTCACTCACTATCAATTGGTGTTCAATTGACATTTGATTGGAACAAATTATAAATTTATATTTTTTGACCACCTTGTATCAATTTCAATTGAACACCAATTGATAGTGAGTGAAAAGTTGAGATAGGGAAATGTAAATCGTTTTGACGAATAATGAACAGTTTCGACAGAAAAAAATCCTGAACTTGGAAAATCTCGATTTTGCACACCCTATATGTCAGTAATTTTCACTGCTTGACCCTGAGTATGATGGGTCGTTAAAATCAGATCTTCAGGAAGAATTCAAAAATGAAATAAAATATAGGGTGTTCCGATGAAAAAAACATAGCTTCGATGTGCTGTGACCTCACGGAACACCCTGTGTATTTCAAAGAGATTTCGAAATGTGGAGCTCGGTTATTACTTCAATTTTGATTCATAACTTTTTTTTTGTATCTCTCAAGACAACAGAGAAATCGAACTCTGGAGTCTTAGTTGGCCACCCTGTACACGCCCATTGGCGAGACAACTCTGACAGCTAGAGCGGATAGGGGATGCCCACAGGGAAGAGTATTATCACCCCTACTATGGGCCATTCTAATGGATGAACTGATCAAAAGGCTAACATCCAAAGGGTATTATTGCTTAGGATACGCCGACGATCTGGCGGTTATCGCTAAAGGTTAGATTCGCAAGTATGGTCTCGGAGCTCACACAAACCGCTCTAAACATAATTGACAAGTGGTGTAAAGAGGAGGAACTCACCGTGAACCCTCATAAAACCTTTATAGTGAATTTCACGAAAAAGAGAGTACTGGAAGGATTGAAGCCACCAGTACTCAACGGGGTATAAATTCCGTTCGCCCTAGAGGCAAGATACTTAGGAGTCATCTTTGACCATAAGTTAACATGGAATCAACACCTACGAAATATTGCTCAAAAAGAACAGTAGCCTTCAATCTGTGCAGACGAATGTGCGGAAAAAATTGGGGACTGCAACCTAAAATGACCACATGGCTCTATACCAGCGTCATCAAACCTATGATAGCATATGGGTCAGTAGTTTGGTGGCCAAAGACACAACAGGCAATGAAAACCACTCCAACAGCCGCTTTAGAGGTCCTCTTGAACCTGCCACCACTACCAATATATATCCAAGGCGAAGCCAGAGCAGTCGTGAGTAGGTTGTCAAGGGGTCAAACATCCATAAGCAACGCGCACGGTAAAGACTATAGAAAGCTATATGAAGAGTTGGAAAGCGACCCCATCATGGGAATGCCAACGGATGACATAATTCCAAAATATACCTTTGAAAAAACTTTCAAAATAAGTATAACGAACAGAGAGGCATGGAAGGAATGACCTCCTATCAATGCAGACATTGCTGTCTATACGGACGGCTCCAAAACCGAGGAAGGATCAGGAGCTGGTATTTATGGGGCCAAGCCAAAGACAAGAATCTCACTGAGCTTAGGTAAATACGCGACGGTGTTTCAGGTAGAAGTTATTGCAATACATCATTGCGTGCAAGAATTGATAAGGCAAAACCATTGCAATCTATTCAGATAGCCAGGCGGCCATCAAAGCAGTCAAATCTATGCAAGTTAACTCAAAACTAGTATGGGACTGCATAGAAACCCTAAATGAACTGGGCAATCAGAACAGACTGACTCTAGCATGGGTACCAGCACATACAGGGTACGAGGGCAATGAAGAGGCAGACTCACTTGCCCGAGCAGGAGCAAACAAAGCTCTGAATGGCCCAGAACCCTTCTGTGGTATTGCGAAAGCTATACAAAAGACTAGTATCAAATCATGGATGCAAACCAAAACTCAAGAATGGTGGAACAAATCGCCAGGTATGAGACAGGCAGAATAGTTTATTAAAAAACCATCGCCAACATTCACAGAATATCTACTGAGCCAGAAACGAAGTTCTACTAGAATACTAGTGGGACATACGTCTGCGGTTGTAAGCAATTTCGATAATCACGCACATTCTTTTCATATCTTGGTTCTACTGCGTCGGCGCAAAACCTCAAGGTCAAAATCCCCATGGGACGTAAAAAATTCACGCGCAGGTAGCTGTATCAGCATTCCATTTATAGGGTTATAGTTCAATGACTTTTACCCGCCAATTAATAACACTGCAGTGTACTCACCTCGACCAAATCGGGGGTGGCGCACCGACTCTCCTCCCGAGCCTCCTTCTCCTTCGCGAACCTCGACTGCGACATTGTCCTCCTACGCATCACCGCGACACTCGGTAACGTTGCCCCGCCTCCTTCCCCCTCCACCGCCATGGGTGTGGCCGGCGGCGATCCCAACTCGCCCGATTGGTCGATAGACGCAGCAGAGGCGGAGTTAGGGTTGTGGGGATGGGGCGACATCGGATCGGGTGTGTTCGCCTCGCTGGATTCGGCGCGGCTGTCGGTGCGGCGATGCGAGCGCCCTCTGGTGGTTTGGCCGCCTGGTGGCATTTTGAGGTAGCTGAGGAAGCGCTTTTTTTCGTCATATTCGGAGCGATCGTGGCGGGCGAGGACAGCCTCTTCGGACGTGTCTTCGGTCTGCGCAAACGAAAATTCATTAACCGTTGAGTGCACACGTGTGGGTACGCAAGACACAACTGATTTTCCTTCACTGGTAGCTTTTCTATAAGTTTGACACCGCCTCCAAAGTTTCAAGTACTTTTCGAGGACAACTGGGATGGTTAGTAGGCAGACGGTAGTCGTGATTCACAAAATAAAAAAGATATTCGGCATTTTGTTATTATACGAGAGAATAGGCAAGGTTGCTACAATTTTTTGACGAGGCATCATCAGGTGAAGGATTTAGCTTTAATAAAGTGTTTTATTGCCAGCTTCATTACTAGACTGGTTTTGATTAATATCTAAGTACCTGAGGCTGATTCTAATTGAATTTCACTTGTTCGGATGCTCGAAACCCTGATAGAGCTGAGTTATTCAATAATTCTTGACTATCAAAACATTTTCCTGATGATAAACTCCGATACATCATAACAACCATAATATTTCTCAACCCTTTGCTTATGATATAAAATTTGGACGAATTATTTATCTGTTGAAATGATGGATGTTTACCTGGTCATAACTTTTTTGTTATTGAATATTTTCCAGTCAAATGCATTCAGTAGCCTAAGCAAGAGTAGTTGATTCTGTTCCTGTGTTCATTTAAGGTTAAAGATTATTTTTTTCTGTTACGGGAAAAAAGTTTGAAATTTAATCTCTGTTGACAGGTTATAAAATGTCACTTTTTATAAATTACTTTATTCTCACGGAAAAAAAGTGAGTACTTTTCACATAAATATACACTGTTGATGGCTTTTGTTGTACTATAGTTCCGAAAAATAAGCCAATAACACCGTCTCCGAGAAAGAACTGCAAGTCCTTCTATCTTCCATTCGATTTCGCGGTTACGTAAATCACTAAACAACCACTAATTTCGCAGTTTTTTGAAATCAAGTCACAGAATTAGACTGACATATATTTGTGAAAAATTCAAATTTCACGTCGATAATCATCTGATTTCAATATAATGTAATATCTTCTCAATATTGATTCGTAGTTTTTTCTGTCACAGAAGTAAATAGTGCATTATACACGGGAAAAATATTAGATTTTAGTTCACGGTTCACAACCTGGAGCTAAATACTTCTTTCCCTAGTATAATAAGAATTTTTGTGGGTTTAAGAACATGTGCTTTCGGATGCTAGTTTCTGCAGGCGTAGTTGAGGATTCCGACCAATCAGATTCTAGGATTGAGCTCTCTTTAGCCGTCTTCCCTAGTAGTAGTAGAGTATAAATAAGGAAGACGGCCAAGGAATCTCTCTCTTCTCTCCTGGTTCTCTTGCTGATTTCGTAGTGCTCTCATATTTCTTCCGATACCAGTGTGAAGTGGTATAATAATTGTATAGTGATTTTGTGTTGCCCATGTAAGTTTGTATATATTTTCCGAGATATTTTCATTTCATTCCTGTTATTCCAGAAAGTTGTATTTTGGGAATAAACGTTTTTTTTGTGATTGCATATTTCATGTTACTTTCTCTGTTGCCATTGTTTTCAGTTCCAATAATTTATTTAATGATTTTCAATGATTTAATTTGTCAAATTAATTATTATTTATTATTATTGACTGACGACTGACATAGTTGTCAATTTTTCGTTTTCTTGAGCCTTCCTATCCTGTGCTCCGGTGGCCCTGTGCTCTGTATACTGTCAGGTTGTGGTCTGTGTTTCATGAAAATTTGACATTAATGGAAAGAGATAAATAACGTCACTAAAATTCCGATATTGCAAAAATAATAAAATCTAAAGATAAAAGGCAAATGAATAGGAATTGAATCTGTATCCGTAAATTTACATGTATTGTATGATTTATTTCAAGTGATTTCGATTGGTATTATACATTATTTTGCAGATGATACTGTTATATTATACTCTGCAAATGATTGGGTAGAATTGAAGAGGAAAGTGGTCATGGATTTTCCAATTCTCATAGAGTGGTTTGATAATCATTTATTGACAATTAATTTTGAAGAATTATGCCTTTCACTTCCTATCAAAATTCTCAGCCAAATTCAGGTACTATAAAACTCGACAGTAAAATCAACATCCATGAAACTAATTGTATAATAGCTATTTATATATCATGGGAGCAAAGGTATCCATTTCCTCCCGCGTGTGAAGTTTGACGCGTAGCGGAGGGCATTAAACACACATTGGAGGAAAGGAACGTTTGCTCCCAAGATATACACTGTGTCCATAAAGTCACCCCCCCCCTGGTTAACTATTGAACGGATAGGATTTTTTTTTTCAATTTTTTTTTGCTTCGATGGTAGTTTCAGTGCTACATATTTTTCTAAAAAAAAAATATGTATCCTCCAAAATGGCGCCTGGGCGCCATTTTGGAAGATTTTTTTAAATGGAGTGGGGGGTCGAATGATACCTCGATTGAAAGGTCTTTCGATTCTCTATACAACCTCAGAATCTCAGACGAAAATATTTATCCAAAACAAAATGGCGGATGATAACGTTTGAAATTTCACACCAGAATTCATTCGACTAGATGGCTATTGAAGTGCTCGCATGTGATCTTCAAATCTCTATTGGCGTATTAGAAGAGTTCTCTATCTATGAAGATATCAATAGGAAGCCATTTTGAAGAGAATAACATGGTAGTCAATTATTACCTTTGCTCGATTGTCTTTCCAAATTCTGCAAAATTTCAGAAATATTTATTCAACATAAAGAACAATGTTTATTCCACGTTAATGAATAAAAATCAAATCAAATGTTCGAAATGTCCACCATTCACTTCTTGACACATGAAGAGGCGATTTTGGAATTCACGTCTTACATTTCCAAATATTTCAGGCGTAGTAATTCTACATGCATCTGTTATGCGTTGCTCCAATTCATCTATCGTTACTGGTGTTCTGTACACTTGAGATTTGAGATGACCCCATAAAAAAAATCTAAAGGGGTCAAATCAGGTGAGCGAGCTGGCCATTCAATAGGACCCATCCTACCGATCCATCTTTCAGGAAAATTTTCATTGAGAAATGATGTTACTGGCCTATAGAAATGAGAAGGCGCTCCATCTTGTTGAAAAAAAATATTCTGCATATTATTTCCAGCGATCTCTCTGGATGAATATCTTCTTGCAGCATCCTCAGCAGGTATCCAACTCCTTTCAGATTTTCATGATAGAGAACTCTTCTATACGCCAATAGAGATTTGAAGATCACATGCGAGCACTTTAATAGCCATCTAGTCGAAAGAATTCTGGTGTGAGATTTCAAACGTTATCATCCGCCATTTTGTTTTGGATGAATATTTTCGTCTGAGATTCTGAGGTTGTATAGAGAATCAAAAGACCTTTCAATCGAGGTATCATTCGACCCCCCACTCCATTTAAAAAAATCTTCCAAAATGGCGCCCAGGCGCCATTTTGGAGGATACATATTTTTTTTTTAGAAAAATATGTAGCACTGAAACTACCATCGAAGCAAAAAAAAATTGAAAAAAAAAATCCTATCCGTTCAATAGTTAACCAGGGGGGGGGTGACTTTATGGACACAGTGTATATATACCATATATATATGATTTTATCCAGGAACACATATATTTGAGAGCGTCGTTCTCAAAATTGTGCTTCAAGCGGTCTATCTCTCGAGTCTCGATCCAAATCAATGTGTTACATGATCTAAGATTTTACATGATCTAAGGTTACAGAACGAAAATCAATTTGACATTGACACTTCTGTCACATTGAATTAGTTTATTGTGATGGAATTATTGCATTTTATATTGTATTTAGAGTTTCGATTGAGTGTTATATGAGGAAGTGTATGAGATCATTGAAAAATAAAATTGTTATTTGTTTTATAGCAGTGGACACACTGATAAGGTACTTGAGTAGCACAAATCTTATGTGTATATCTCTACCAAGTAAGCATGCTGAAGCCAATTGGCTCCCGTGGGAGTAAATTGACAGGTTTTTGTCCTCAAATGAGGGAGCAAACGCTAACTTTCTATGCTATCTAATAAAACAATTGGACAAAGACATTCCGCGTGATATTGAAGAAGTCAAATCCTTTTATTGCTACGAAACTAGAATAAAAAGCTGGATAATAGTCTCTTCAAGGAGTTTATTTTCTTCTCTGTTAAATATTTAAACGAAATTTGAAACAGTACTGAATTGTAATTGCGATACAAATTAAAATTGAGTGCCCATCACGATTTTGTCTGAAGTTTAGTGTTGTGTTATTTATTCCTGAATATGAGAATATCAAGAAATCCATGTCTATGACAGACTGCTTCATGTAAGTAATTTTGTTTTATATTTGATCAAACTACCAATGAGGAAGAGAAAAACAAAATCGAAAACACAACATGTAGGTATCCAATTTCCAATCAATTTCGATTATCAACACAGATGTTCCAACTAATCAAAAAGGTGTATTTTGAAATGAGTTGAATAATCGTGAACACTGATACATTGTGATTCAAAGATTCTTCAACATGCTGATGATATTTCATCGATCATAGTAGCGAAAAAAAATTGAAATCAACAATAGTACAAGGATGATGCTCAACTTTTCGAACACAGCAGAGCGGCAGCGATAATCTCCAACTGCATGTGACATTCATCTGTCAGACATTCATGAAAGAAAATATCTTGATGCGCACCACTATGAATTTTCTCTTGAATGAATGATAATGTGAAACAATGCTAGACACGTTAATTTTAATGACTTGAGGGACACACTATAGTGATAATCTCTAAATGTAAACTAACTGGAATATTTAACTAGAACTGAAATGAATCAGTTAACATGTGCTTTATAAAATACACATTCGATAGAATGGATGTTGATTCCATTCAGTTCAAGTAAAATATTTCAGTTAGTGAAGAACGAAAGATATTGACATGAGTTAATATCCTGTTATTGTAGAACTGCAGATATCTTTTGACCATTATTTCGGTATATTGTAGGTTGGTAGGTTGAAGAATTAAGCAAGGTTGACGCCAAAAATTATCCATTTTCGTGGGAGTTCAAAATTTGCTCATCCATCAATTTTAAAAACAGATGGAAGAATTTTTGATGATATTTAAGTTAATTGTTTCAATGTAGGAATTTATTTTTTATAAATCTAAGAATTATTTGTGTTCCTTAATAACATGTGGAAAGAATGAAGGACGAAGAATAAAAATGAAATCACTCACATCACTATCCTGATCAAAGTCTTTGGCAGCTCCATTGTTTATACTGTCATACCCTGCTATGTTACAATCAGTTTCAGCAATTCTCCACCTGTAATGCAAGCATTATTACATACAATTATTATTTTGAACAAAGGACTGAGGAAAGCTATTGCTAAGTTACTTAATTATATTGAAGCAAATATACAAAATAATCAACTGGTACTTGTCAAATAAAATTTCACATGTCCAATAACGGGTACTTTAGCGATTTTAACCAATAGCAATAATTCGGTATTTTAATGACTATTCCAGTCATATACTCGAGAACCAATCAGAATCTTTAATTTTCACAGTTTTCTGTATTGCAGCAATATCTTTTGTTTACTGAAAGTGATCGAACTTGCTATACCAATACTTTTTTATTTGAGGCGAAATCATTTAAAAAATCGAATTAGATAAAACCACTCGTTCTATGGGCTCGTGATTTAATCAATCGGTTTGTTTTCATTATTTATGCCAAATAAAAAAGTTTTCGTATAAAATTAAAGAAGTTATCGATAATATTTGAAGCACTCGTGGTATTACCTTTGATAAAACTGCTCCTCTTCGATAAAACCTTGTTTGAATATCGAACTATCAAAATTAGATTTACCTGTGAATGACATCTATCTTGGTTCTCTCGACATATCTTATATGTAACAATTGACAATCAAATCAAGCATGGAGTGAAAAACTTCACAAACGATAACAAATCATGACAACCAAAATTGTTATAGTAGGTATATTACCTAAAAAGTGTGGAAAGTGTTATATTTCACGCGACTGGACGTGTAGCACAAGACACAGAGCGGCGAGTTCGGAATGGAAACGCGCAGGAAACGCAATTTCCAACGAGTTTTGAACACTATTTTTCCTATGACCACAAATATTTATATTGACCTTACCAATAAAATCAAAAATTTTAATATTCCTCCCAATGCTATCTTATTGTCTTTTGATGTAGTAAATCTCTTCCCCAGTGTCCCCCCAGAGGATTGTATCAGATTAGTTTGCAGCCTACTATTTGAATCAGGGATCCCCACTCACCATTGCTTAAACTTATGCTCTGTTAGATATAGTTTTGAAACAGAATTTTTTCCAATTTGATCAGTCCTTTTAAGCACAACTTTCTGGTTTGGCCATGGGCAGCAACCTTTCCCCTCTCCTAGCAGAAATTTTTCTACAAGACTTAGAAAATAGATTGAAGGAATTTCATTTGTTCCATAAGGTTTGCTTTTGGAATAGATATGTTGTGACTGCCTAGTCCTCTTTGACGGTTCTATTCAGGAAGTCAATCTTCTTTTGGAATTTTTGAACTCCCTTCACCAATCTATTCAATTCACCATGGAAGTTGCTCAGAATAATTCTCTACCCTTTCTAGACCTACTCATGAATATTTAAAATTCAACCTTTAATTTTTCAATCCATAGAAAACCAACACACACAGATCCTTTTTCTTCTTGCCATCCTATTTCCCACAAATTTGCTGCCTTTCATTCACTCTTCAACATACTTTTCAGCATACCTATGAACCCTGAGAATTTCAATATTGAATTGAATACTATAAAACAGATAGGCCATAACGACGGTTTTCCCAAATACCTTATTGACAGACTATACCACCACCATTCCCTCAAATCTCTGAATCAAAATTTAACACTAGTCACAGAAGCTAAATCTCGCTTTGCCTCCATACCCTTTCTTGGTAAGGTTTCATATATCAGAAACATTTTTCAACGTTTTGGTGTAGACATCAACATCTCATACCATATATCGAAGACTGGAACCTTTGGCACGATAATACACTACACTGTTTTACCACTGACCAAACCGATTTTTTAACACCTCGACACGTGTTTCGCTAACTATGTTAGCATCTTCAGGAGAAGATTAAAACTAAATATCCTATTTTAGTGTGCTGCTTATATACTAGGTACTTATATGTTCACCCAACTGTGAAAAATACTAACCGTCAAGTTAATGTTTGTCATGGTTGAGTTCACATGTTAATCTTAATTTTTATTTCACTAAACTATATAGAGGGCTATATGGAATAGGTCCATTATCCTTATTCATTACTCTATTACTATTCTTAAATATCTCCAAGCTTTCATATGCGTCTAGTTTTCTAATGTTATTAACTTGCTTAACTAATTTGTGTGTTATGATTGTGATTGAACATATGTTCGGCTACACAAGATTTATCTAACCTGCCATATTTTAAATGGGCTATGTGTTCTTTGAACCTTGTTTTTATGGGTCGCCTGGTTTGGCCTATATATGTTTTATCACAATCATTACAACTTATTTCGTATATTCCCGACTTTTCAAGTGTGTCTACTTTATCTTTCGGATTGCCTAATAAATTGCCTAATTTTGACCCAGACTGATAAACGCTTTCAAAACCTAAGTCTTTGAAAACCTTATCATGTCCCTTCGTATACTTGGGATTGAACGGGATTGGGATTCTTCTAGAGTTCTTTTTATCCACTTGAAAAGTCGTAGAATTTCGAAGTGTTAACTTAAATTTATGTCTACGTATTAATTTATATACTATTTTGTAGTTGTTAAGCAAGTTAATAACATTAGAAAACTAGACGCACATGAAAGCTTGGAGATATTTAAGAATAGTAATAGAGTAATGAATAAGGATAATGGACCTATTCCATATAGTTCTATATAGTTTAGTGAAATAAAAATTAAGATTAACATGTGAACTCAACCATGACAAACATTAACTTGACGGTTAGTATTTTTCACAGTTGCGTTAACATATACCTAGTATATAAGCAGCACACTAAAATAGGATATTTAGTTTTAATCTTTTCCTGAAGATGCTAACATACTTAGCGAAACACGTGTCGAGGCGTTAAAAAATCGGTTTGGTCAGTGGTAAAACAGTGTAGTGTATCTCATACCATAACATGGACTCAATCGCACGCACTTTGGTCAACACCAAAGACAAAATTTCCCCTCTTCACAAATCAGGTGTTTATAAAGTCTCTTGCTTTGATTGTAATGCTCAATACATAGATCAGAGTGGTAGACGGATTCATACCAGAGTACTAGAACATGTGAAAATAATTGAGAAATCTGTGAACTCCCATATTGATGAATATAACACAAAAACTTCATTTGCAAATCATATCCTCAACCACCAACATTCTTTTGATACCAATAACGACCTGGAAATTTTACATATTTGCCAAAAAGGTGCTCTCCTCAACTTTTTGAAATTTTCGAAATTAACGCATCCTTAACCGACTCTAATGTTATCTCACTCAATGAACAAACTCATTTTGATAGGCGAGAACACGAGTTTCTGGAAAAAATACCATGGCCTTTAGTATGACGATAAAAGTCTCAGGTATTTTTTTCAGATTCTTATTCGAAGTAGTTTTTCCACAAAAAAATTGCAAAGTATTGATCCCGTTCAAACGAGTTGAAAAATCGCGCGTTAATGTGACATAACAAGTATTAGACGGTGATCCGGCAACGTCGCTTGATATCTTCTGGACTGTTGACTGTGTGGACAGTTGACGATTCGTTCATCTGTCACTACTGTCAGTTGTTATTTCATTTTATTTTTTATTTATTTTTGTCGACCAATATTATTTTTATTCGTGTCATCGAATTATTTATTTTTTCTCATCAACGTTGATTCACATTTCTGGGATGGCAGTGGCTGTAAGGAAATGCCACAAACTTGGTTCCATCCTGCATAATAAACACTGAACAAAGTGTATGGATAAACCGAGGGATAAACCATACCTGGAATCAAATGATATATTTTGCTGTGAGGATCGTTTTGATGTGAGTAGAATTTTTTCTTCAATATGGATTGATCATACTCATTTTGTTCTAGCTTGAATATGACATGTTTAACTGGGTGGAATTAAAACTCATTGGATCTAGAGTTTATATGCCTGAAGATGTGATTCCATATTCATTAAACGTCCAAAACTGAGAAACACCCATCAAAATCCAAACTTTCATCTTCAGCACGGAAAAGGAGATTTTTCAGACCTCTGAAAACGAGACGATGATGTGACGTCAAAACCCTAATACTGAAACAAGACTATTCCAGGCAGAGATGAATGATACATGATTTCTGACAGAGTGAATTAGCGCGAGATCACAGTTGAAAGAATTAATAAATCAGTTGCCTCAGTCTCCGTCGGGCGTTTGGTATTTACTTTTGACTATGGCGAGATGAGGTTTCTACGTCATAAGAGGGTCCGTTTTCAAAAGGTACTATGAATTATGTCGTCAATCATTATTTATGTATTAAAGGATCATTATAAACATGGTTTGAGTTAAAAGTTCTACTAAGGTGTACACGCCCATTGAAGTAAGAAAGTTAAAAGTTGGCCAACTTCTTACTTGTTACTTGATAATTGTTGAATGTATGCAAAAACAGCTTCATTGAAAACTAGAGGTTCAACTTGTAATTGCTACTTGTTGAATGATGCTGCATAAATCCACCTTTAGTCTGAGGTCGCATCACTTACTTGGGTGTCAAAATTTCCTTGTACTGCAACTTTTCCACCCGAGTGGAGGCCGCCACACTGTACGGTATCACGATATTATCGATATCGTACGACTGCCCCCCCTTGTTCTTCTTCCCGGCGATGGAGTGCATATGCAACAAGGGCGACGAACAGGGTGAGTCCATCGACCTTAGGCAATAGTTGCTGTTGGTGCCGATCGATTCCACTTCTTCGTCGACGCAGTCCGGGAGGGCGGGATGAGAAATGGTATGCGCCTCCTGTTCTTTGTTGGCGTGCCTCTTGAGGTGGACGCGGTTGAAGAAGGAAGGCCTGCCGGGTTTGCGGCCACGGATTTTGTTCCGAATTTCTTAAAAAAAAAAAAAATTAGAACTCAGATACCTCGAGGGTGTCTCTGTTGAACATAAATCAACGAACACTGCCATTACGGAGCTGTGATCGCATATTTATGATTCTTTGAACTCGAAAAGGACTTTGGTCACACTATTTTTTTATCCAAGTAAAGCATTCAATAAAGTAGACCACTATATCACAAGGTTCCAAGATGGCGCGCATCGAGTAGTGGCTAGTCGGAACGTCGGCAATAAAATTTCAAATATTGCTCGTATTTGTGCGTAAAAGTTTTTCATTCGAAGTCGGTAGTGTGTACCATTCATTGTTAACATAGTGTTGATCGACATGGGCCCTAAACGAGACACAAAAACCGGCAATACCGATAATTCGACGGATGTTGAGGTTATCAACCAAAAAGTTAGTCAAATGGAGTCTGATTTCACAAGTAAGCTTGCTGAATTCAAGAAATCATTCAGAAAGCACTTGGACAGTACTAGTGATTCCACGCTTGACGAGCTGTGGAAAAAAGTCGAGGAATTTGAAAAAGACGTGAAAACTACTATTTCTCAGTTTAAAACAGATATCAACACCAAATTTCGTCAGATGGAGGCCACTGTTGATAACCACTTGCAGAAATCAAATAATAAATCTTTAATTGTGCATGGTATTCCAGAAAACGACAATAATGGCAGTGTCTTAGTAATCGTGATGGAATTATTACAATCTAAATTCAAGATTCAAGTTGAAAAAAGGGATTTCTCAGATTGTTATCGGCTTGGTAAAAAGTCGATTGATCGCAAAAAACCTCGACCTATTGCTGTTCAATTTGTAAACAAGTGGAAGAGAGATGAAGTATATTTCAAGAAGCGCATGTTAAAAGGATCTCAGCTGCTCGTGACAGAGCTCCTTACTAAGCCGCGCTTGCAATTACTACAAGACTGTCAGAGATTGGGGGAACGCGCATTCAGCTTGAATGGCAATATTTTCGTCCAACGGGACGACGAAAAGCAACTCATTCGAAGTACGGAAGACCTTCGCAGAAGAACTTAGGATGTCTGTCTATCGTGAATTCGAATATTTTCATACTATGTCCGTTCAACTTCATTTTATGTTGATTATTATTCACAGGGTGTGTAATTACTTTCATTCAGCACTTTTACTTGCATACCTACAAATATTGTTTATTTGTGCAGAACCTTTAAATTTTTTTTTTCTTGTCACCTTTAAATAGGAACTTATAAATGTTTTTCACTTATGCTTTTTATTTGTCGTTCGTTCTAACTTACCACAGGACAAGTGTTATTCACTTGCTCTTCAAACTAGTTTTTGAATTTGTAATTAATACTGTATTACCCTAGAAATATTATTCACATTTCACTTTCGTTATAAATTCTTCTTTTTTTTTCTTTTCATGAAAAAAGAACTCAAGTTAGCATTCTTTAATGTAAGATCTCTAACCAACAATTTTGCAGATTTCGTAAGTTCAGTTGTTGATGAAAATTTTGACATTATAGGCGTTTCTGAAACTTGGCTCAGCGACAGCATCTCAGATGAAGCAGTTAGCATTGATGGGTACAACTTTATCAGGAAGGATAGAGGTTCCAGAGGAGGCGGAGTGGGTATTTTCATTAGAGATTCTTTTCAGTTTGAGATTCTCAATATTGCTTCATATGACTTTTTCGAACAATTATGGCTCAGGGTTTGTATTCAAAATCAAGCTTATATTATCGGTTCTATTTACAGACCTCCGAACTAAAGTATTCCTGATTTTCTGGAGAAATTTGAGATTATGTTGTCAGATTTTATAACGGATTGTAATGAAATTATATGTGGAGGGGATTTTAATATTGATCTATTGGACACTGAGGAATTAAATACTCAAAATCTTCTAAACTGCACCGAATTATTCAATTTGAAACAAGTCATAGAATCTCCAACAAGATTAACTAAAAGTAAAGCCTCTTTGTTAGATCTCATTTTTGTATTTGATCATCATGAATGCCTCAGTTGTGGTACTATGGATGTATATAACGTATCTGATAATCTATTAGTATATTGTAATATCGGTCTGGAAGCGAAACCTGATAATAATCAAAAACTCGAATTTAGAAACCTCAAGCGCATTGACTATGACCTGCTTCAAAATTTTCTTGCAGAATGTCCTTTTGACAACATACTTTTTTTTTACGATGTGAATGCAAAAATTGAATATTTCAATCAATTGATTTTGAATATTTTTGATACGTTAGCGCCTTTGAAAAAGATCACATTAAAAAAACAGAAACCCCCTTGGCTAACTGACAATGTAAGACTGATGATGTCTATGAGAGACAAAGCATTAAAAAAGTACCAGAAATCAAAAAATCCTGATCATTGGGAAGATTACAAACGGTGGAAAAATCTTACGACCAACTCCATACGCAATGAAAAAAAAAAGTTATTTGGAATTCTGTACAGCTAATAGTAGTAGTAAAACTTTATGGAAAAAACTTAGAGACTTAAATGTTCACGTTAAAACTCGCAATAAACTTGATAATAGTCTGCCTGATAATTTAAATGATCCGAATTTGATAAATAACCATTTCCTTATTCCATCAAATACTATTGGAACGCCGAATGTTGATTTAGTTCAATATTATAGTAATAATTTTAAAGATAACTTTGATGCTTTATTTTCCTTCACACCTGTTCATGAGAACATAGTATATAAATATCTTTTAGATATAAAATCTAAAGCTACTGGTCCCGATGACATTAATATTGAAATGCTTTTGTTATGCTGCCCTCAAATCTTACCTGCCGTCACACATATTATGAATACATGTCTTTCTGCTAGTATATTTCCTTCTTTGTGGAAAATTTCCAAAGTAATTCCACTTCCCAAAAAGAAAAATGTCGAAAATCTCAATGAACTACGTCCAATCTCAATATTATCTACCCTATCGAAAGTCTTAGAGAAAATCATGAAACATCAAATTACTTTACATATTTATGCTTTTAATATATTACCAAAGAGGCAATCTGGGTTTCGCAGCGGGTTCAGCTGCACAACAGCATTACTCGATATAACCTGTCCACGGTTACCAGCCGAGTAGTGCTTCGGATGACACTTAAAAAGCTAAGGTCCCCGTCTTCTTAACTCACACAAGTCTCTGACTTTCGAGGGTTGCTTTGCAACTAAGCTGGCGGTTAAAAACACATTTTTTTTTTAAACTGATGACATTCTCAAAGATATAGATGATGGAAAAAACTCAGCCCTCATTCTAATTGATTATTCCAAGGCGTTTGATACAATCAACCATGAAATTTTATTTGCCATTTTACACTATGTGGGATTCTCTGAGAGTTCCATTGTAATAATTAAAAGTTATTTGTCAGATAGATTACAATTCGTTGCGGTTAATGATAAACATTCGAATTTGAAACCTATAAAGTGTGGTGTACCACAAGGTTCTATTTTGGGACCATTGCTATTCTCATTATATACATGTAATATAGTCAATGTTTTAGAACGTACTGAAGCTTATCTTTATGCTGACGATACACAAATAAAATATTCTTTTTTTTACTCTGATCTATATTTAGCTAATTTGGTTATCAACCAAGAACTTGAAAAACTTGTACAAATTTCCAAAAAGCATTTCCTCTCTATCAACTCCCTGAAATCCAATGTTCTTATATTCGGCAAAAATAAAAATAAAGTTGAGGATGTTATTGACATTATAATTGACGGAAATCATTTACCTTGCACTCATGTTGCAAGAAATCTTGGGCTTGAACTTGACACTGATCTGCGGTTCAAATCGCATGTTAGTAAATGTATAAAAAGGGCATATACTAATTTAAAATTGTTATATCCTCATAGACACATTATTTCTCAATCATTAAAACTTAAACTCACAGATTCTCTTGTATTGAGTCATTTTAATTTCTGTGATATAGTGTATGGTCCGTGTCTTGATAACACGGACATAAATCGTATCGAAAGAGTACAAAAATCTTGTTTGAGATTCACGTTTGGAATCAGAAAATTTGAACCAGTAAGTTACAAATTGAGTGAAGCGAATTGGATGTCCATGATTAAGCGACGGGAATTACATTCAGCATGTTTATTTCATAAAATTATTATAAATAAATCGCCTCCATATCTATATAACAAAATTACATATAGAAGCGACGTTCACAATCTTAATCTGAGACATCGAGGTATGTTATCTCCTCCTTTTCATCGCACTGCAATATTTCGTCGATCATTCACTTACAACATTTTTCGCCTGTACAATAATGTAAGTAATGATTGGAAGCGTCTGTCGTTGTCCGGTTTCAGATTCGCCTATAAGAATTTATTAATAAACTAATATTTATACATATATTTTTACAATGATTTACATGTCATGCTTGGATTTGATGTTAACTTTTTTCAAGATATTCTGTTTCTGGGTTTTATACAATAAAAGATGCTGCTATCTCGAACCTAAACGGGGATGGCACTAGATATCAGTTACGACTGCCTGTCATCTCCCTTTTGCAGTTCGCATTTTGTTGGAAATTTTATATTTAAGTAATGTACTAAATTGGCGAACTTCGAAATAAACTTTATTATTATTATTATTATTATTATTATTATTATTATTATATCCTTCTTGAATAGTTGTACCACATTGGTGTTCGAGAAACACGATTGAATTGAATAATTTCATATCTTCAAGATCGCAAACAAATAGTAATGCCAGAAAATACTAAATCGAAAGAAAACACTCTGAACGTTCATTATTTTTGCGAATGACATATTTTCAACATGCACGTAGACACACAATATAATGTATAAGGACGACACAACCATGAAGATTTCTGAATATCATCTTGTAACTGCATTGTATAATGCCAATTTTGTTGCAAATCAAATCAAGATGATTTCATGACGAAAACTTCAATAATTCCGCAGCAGAGTGGAGCAAGTATTTAATAAAAGAGTGTCTAGAAGAGTTTATAAAGGCGTAACATACCATACTTTTTCTACAAACTCATAATTCCACTCTTCGACAAGATCCCATAATTCCGAAAATTAAATTAACTTACCTGCTAACCTATAAGATTATTCGAAGGAAATGGGAATTGAGAACATAATACATGATACTATGCAACTGCATGCAACCTACGAGACACGTATATTGGTTGTAAATGTGCGTCCAGTCCATAGAAATGGCTTGTTTACTGACCTTTGTGAATAAATTCCATCTGACATAGTAGATAAAAACTCTTCGATTCGTTTCGCTGATGTGTCAAAGTTTTTGATTTATTAGGTTTATTGTATCCATATTAGGATTGCATAATTTTTTTCACATTAATATTGTGTTTTATGTTCATTGTCATGCTTAGCGTAGAATAAATTTCCCACAAAGATAAGAACTTCACTTTCACCTAGAGTTCTTGGAAATATGGAAGTACCTACCTAAAACATTCTCTTCGATTTCACTTTCATCTACATTTCGCATACATTTTTAATGAGGAATGCTGATGCAAACAGAAATTGTTTGAATAGTTTTGATTGCAACAAAATGGCCAAATGACAGTTACTACAATTGACTGGCCGGACAGGACTTGAACGACTGGGTATGTTTAAAAAACTCTGTTGCCATCGTAATGTGTTCAAGAAATTGTGTTGCCATGGTAATGAGTTTAATTTTTTGAATAAATCACAGATCACCAATCCGTGATTAATCGATCATTTAGCGTGGTACATATTCGTACGCTAAATGCCATTTTAGTTATGTGAGTAGAAAAAGAATTTAAAAACAAATTCTTCTGAAGTTGAGAATTCGCACTATCCTTCCGATAAAAATATGTATATGTCATTCTGAATATTCAACAGAAAACAACTACTTTCCTGGCTATTTGCGACGTCGAACATTGAATTATATCTGTTGAACATTCAAAAAAAGAGCATGAAAAATAAAAATCCTTGAAATTGAGAATTGACATTCTTTCTCAAATCGGATAAATACTATGATGTAAAAATATAACTTACCAATATGTTCAGTATTGAAATGCAAATTGAAATGTATAGGAGAAGTATACTTGTATAAACTTCTTGAAACTTCAAAAAAATCAATCGTATCAGTGATATGGGAATTATATCTCTCAGCAACAGGTTGTATATGTCTATCTATCTATTTATTCATCTATCTATAGAATATATCCCCCTTTATATCAAATGAGGATATAATGTTTGAAGGGCACTATTTGAAATATAACAACATATGATTCCTTGCTCGCACAAGACTTTCGAAGACTTTTGAGGGTTGCTCGTAAGGGGGCAACCGAATGACGGATAGAACAAATTTTAGAACAAATTTTTTTTTTTAGATGTTGCCTGAAGTTTTCAATACCTTGATTAGTTTACGAGATGTCGAGTGTTGCGTGAAATATATAGGCAATCACCCTAATTTAAGGATTAGGCTCCGGTTTCAAAGAACAATTGAATACTATCTATCTATCATTAAAATAATACGATGTTCTGTATAATAAGTGATTGTAGGAACTTTGCCATGAAACATTATTTGCTGACTAGGTCTAACATAAGTATGTTAAAATATTTGAATGAAAAATTTTTGAGACAATTAAAAAAAAGTCTATATGAACTTGTGTCCAGAAATGCTTTGTTTCGGAGATACTGGGTGTGGAAATATTTTTCTTTTCAAGAAATAAACCTTATTCCTGAACCTCTATCAAGTAAAAAGGGTACACTTCCTCAATAACGTTGAAGGTAATCGTTTTCGAAATATTTACAATGTTCTATATTGAAGCATGTTACTTAAGCTTCTAGGGCGCTGAGGGAAATTGCTGAGAACTACAAAAAATGAAAATGTTAGCGAAAAATTATTCATGGTTGGTTTTTGTTATTTTTCTCAAAAATTTTACAAGGGCTTTCTATTTCTTTGGTGGGAAAAAGGTTAAATGTGACACCATAATTGGTTAGGGATTATTATGACGAATTCGATGATACCGTGATTGATAGGGTTATTTCTAATGATCATGAAGATATTTGCGTTCGAAATTTCCATATGCTCAATGGGTGTGACTTCGCAATATCAAAAGCTTTTTTCCTGTCACACTAATTGAGCATATAGAAAATTCGAACGCGAATCTATTCTTAATAATCGTTTGAAATTTCCCTATTAAACTTGGTATCATTGAATTCGTTATGATAAGCCCTAACCGATTATGGAATAAAATACAGGGTGTCCCATTTGAAATTCAAGAGATATAAAAGATACAACAAAAATTGTTTTGTCAATTAATGAGCAATTTGGTATACTTGCTACCCACCAAATCCGATCTCGAATGATTCAGACGTTATATGCCGTTTATGTTCACTTCTCTGTAAACAATTGAAGGCTTGTGTTGTTGTGCCAGTTCCGAAAAATAAGGCAATAACACCGTCTCCTGTCTTTTTCAGTCTTGAATATCTAAGCGGTTTTTTACATTTTTAAACAACCACCAAGTTCGCAATTTTTAAAGCAAATCACAGAATTAAATTGACAGATATTACTTCAGAAGGTTTCCTTTGCGACGCTGGTCTAATTGCCACTATGTTGAAAACGAAAATGTCGCATTTTGACAGGTGAAAAAAATAATCAGGTAAATTTATGAGGAATCTCATAAGGATTCCAAAAATGACATAACATATGGAGTGTTCCATTTGAAATAACAAAGTAGCTACTAATTTCTGATAAAAGCAGCAACACTGTATTGATGAGATTATTTAAGACAGATAGAAAATGTCGCATTTTGACAGGTGAAAAAAATAATCAGGTAAATTTATGAGGAATCTCATAAGGATTCCAAAAATGACATAACATATGGAGTGTTCCATTTGAAATAACAAAGTAGCTACTAATTTCTGATAAAAGCAGCAACACTGTATTGATGAGATTATTTAAGACAGATAGAAAATGCTTGATTATCCAAGCCCACAAATTTATGAAATGATCTGTCGTTTGGTTCTTCAGATACTTCTAATGTTCCATCTACCAACACCTATAGTGTATTGTTATAGTTCCTGCATAGTCAACTCAATAATATAAATTTTTATTCACCACTTACGGGCATCTAGACATGACGTCAGAACCGAGAGCGATTATGAGATAGAATTCTCTTCCGATCCCAACCTCCGAGCAAGACAGACGGGTCAAAAATATGGAGAAGTTGCGAGCCGTTTGTGCTTGCCCGACCAAGTAAAATGTATTGTTTCTCCGTTTGGCAGCGAATATTAATTTTGCTGACACATATCAATCAGCAAAGTATTACTTTTCCTGTCTAGGCAGCAAAGTAATAATGACAGCATACACAGAGTCCCCTAGACGTTTTTTGCAAGACATTCCAAAAAATGAAAATCTAAATATTTTAACGTACTTATGTCACCCTGTAGATACGATTTTTTTTTAGTTATTGCAAATAAGTACTTACTTGCAGATAAAGCTGATATAGTACTAGGCTTCAATAATCTTCCATACTTCTTTCGATGCTCCAATTTCCTCGTTCGGTGATCGAGAGATTTCGATTCCAGCCTATCAGGTTTTGATAATTTGTACGTTTTCATCCGACTGCTCCTCTGTTGCCAATCCTGAGTTTTCATTAGAGCCTCCAGGTGGATACCTTGAGATGTATCTGTGGATTTTCAGTTGGAAAATTAGTATAATATTGACAATTCCAATTTCCACTCTTGTTCTTGAAAGCCAATCAGAAATCGCTCATTTTCTTGTATAACAGTGATATTTTTTGTTTCGCAGTGGTTGAGGCGCTGGACCAGTAATCAGAACATCGAAAGGTTACTAGGTTCGGATCCCCGGCAGAGCAGAAAATTTGTATTCATGAAACGAGTTATAAATTCGAATTTGCGTAGCCTCGACCAGAGATAATCCCGCACGATTTGCTGTTGCATTCCAATTAACAGTGCTGCTTCTAAGGTGGCGTATGGAGTTAATAACAAAGCCTACACAGAACACTGAAGCTGAAGGACCTCTCATAAGGTCGATGGCCAGTTGGTATGTACATACATACCAACGAAGTACATATACTACTACTACTACTACTATCGGACTTGCTATAAAAACACAAAAGCCGAATTGACCTACATATGACCAAACTACATTAAAAGCTTGAAATGGCCAGTGGGAAAAAAAGCACAGACACGTCGATGTCATTTTTCAGCTGGGCATTTTTGGTCTACTCATATTTTTGATGAATTTATCACTGTTCGGGTTATGCCGTCATTATCATTTTTTCATTGTATGGACGTCATATTTTTTCTTATGTTACATAAGACAAATGAAAAAGATGACAGTCGTAATAATGTAATTTATAATGATGTCATCAAAAATATGAGTTAGAACAACAAATGCGCATCAGAAAAAGTCCGTGTCTGAGCTTTTGTTTCCCAATCGCCATAATATGAAGCTATTGATGAATTTGTCCCAACCATAAAATATCCGCTGTGATTTTGTCAGTATGACAGCGAGAAAGTTTTCCTTTTTTCAGCGACGGATCATAACATTTGAAAGCATATCAACATGTGGTGTTCGAACTCAGATAATGAAAAACATGTATCAACTGCGAATATCATTTTATTCTTGTATCCGCATTTAATTACCGTGTCTGGATACTGACTGCTGGTGTCGTCCTTGATATTATATACCAGTTTGAAGGTTCATAAAAAAGGTATAACAAAAGTGGCCTACAAGGTGCGCCAAAATTATTGAGATAAACAGAAATATATTACAAACAACAACAGATTTTCTCAAACTCGCGTTGTCAGAAAAGTATCCAATTTGTTGTCGCGATTTGGCGAGTTTTTGAGTGGAGAAATTGAAAAAGCTTCATCAAAATAGGATTTACGGATTCACTCAATTCACAAGTTACACACACGCTTCTTTTGGGTCACGTAAATTTAATATTGATAATTCAAGTTCTGGTATCTTTGTGTCCAGTTTACTGACAAATAAAAGGTCTCGTGATAAGTGATAATATTTTTGACATTTATAACGTCGATTCCAATTAGTACATATTCAATTTTGACGGCACGGATCCGATGGAGGAAATCTTCAGTTTTGTTGAGCACAACATACAGCCTTTGTAAAAGTTCACAGTGAGATGCTATTCTCTCCCCACTTTTGCTGGTGATTGACCTAATTACTGTTCCCTAGCCGATCTAGAATGCCTAGCAGATCTGACGTTTAATGGTCTTTAAAAAGTTAGGATACATTTGTCATGCCTTGATACATCTGAAGAAATAGACACACAAATACTTTTTATTAGAGATGGAATGATTTTTTTGTACCCATTCATGGAACAAGTACAGACATATTTTTCACGGAAACCAAAACAGTAGCGTATCACTGAAGGCTCTTTGTTGTATTTACAATACTTGCCATTCATCAATAACTGACAAGATATTATCACATACATGTGTTCATGTTAAGGTACCTAAATAAGGAAAGTATTCTTTGCAGAAATAATTTACCTGGTTCTCGGTTTTGAACATAAGTAATTGTCACAAAGAGAGAAACTCAAAGTCATTACCACATACTAGTTCATAAATGAACGACAATGGTAGATAACGAGAAAAAACAACTACTTTCCTGGCTATATGCCACGCAGAACATTGCATTACATCCTGCCGAAATCTATGCGATAGTTCGTATAAACGAATAAAATCGCAATTGTTTCCTTCCTAAACGCTGAGCTGCGCTTAAGTGGTTCAGGAACGCTGACTACCTGCAGACCGGTTTCGAGCTCTTGGCTCTCATCAGTACAGGGCTGTCCCAGATAGCTTCTTGACCGCTATCTGGTGCGAACCTGACCCAACGTAAACGCATCTCAGCATTTATACCATACGAGGCGTTCGACGTCTGTGAAATGAAAATGCGAACGCCACCTGGCAAGGAAAGAAACACTCCAAAACAACATCCCATTTCAGGTGAAATGGGAGTTTCCCTAGTTGATAAGTAATTGTATTCGATTAATTCAAATAGACGCGAAAATAATAAAAACTCATATAAACACTGACTGAGAACTATCAAACATAAGTACCTACCTAGTTTTGCAATTCACAATACTTCAACAGCTGTTGTTTCATCCATATTTGAACCAAATTTGATCTTTTGGAGGAATCAAGAATATTCTCAAAAATTTCAATCAAACACCTAATCCTCAAAATTGTAGAAAAATACACAGGAACAGAACAAAACAAAAAGAGATATCAAATTGAAACCCGCGAGACCTTTGGCGGTATCGGATAAATTCAATCTAGAAATTGACAGATTTCAATAACAAATTACAATATGAATTGATCATCTCGTTTCTGTGAACCTAAGATTTCCTGAAATGTTTTATTTGTTTTCCTGTAGGTATGTTTAATTTATTTTATTATTACTATGTACTTTTCCATACATGTCTGTATATATTTGCATATTTTATAATGAGATATTGTACATGTTTTTCTGTCGAGGGATGTCTTCGTATAGGTATTGTTTTTTACACTCTTTTTGACTTGTTACTGAGACCAACCAGTGTTTTTTCTTACATGTTTATCTCTTGATGGATTTCTTTGTAAGAGGCATTGTAATCTCTAGTAGTGAATAAAGTTTCTTTCTTTCTATTTTTTTCACTGAATCTGCAATTGAAATATTTCTATGTAATTTCGGGACACCCTATGTAGTGATATAAATATTATTCATTATTTAATCAATATTCTTATCTTCAATTCAATTTATGTTTTGCTCTTGTACCCATGGTTTGATTTTTTTTGTTGAGAAAAACATTTTGCTTCACTTTAATTTCAGATTCTGCTTCACCAATCAGAATACAAAAGGTGAAAAGTGAAAAGAAACCCCAGTCTTTGGAACAGGGTTGGCACGAATTAATTCATATGTATCAAGTCAGTGATTTAATTCATGAATTAATTCAAATGACTTTTTTCAAATAAGTCGTGAATTAATTCAAAATTTATCAAATGGGAACAAATCGCATTATTACCTTCAATTTAAACTAGTTTAAAATGAAATATCCGATGGCATCTGACAACGGAGAACCGTGAAGCAAAACACGCGGGAAACAAAATTTTTTAAGAGCCGCTTTACAGTTTACAATATTTCATTGCATGTAATTGATTGCTCCAATTCATATTTCCGTCAAAAATAATATGTTGGCTTTTCAACAATGAATAGGAATTACCGGCTTGCAATGTCTTTAATCTGAATTACATGTTATGCATTCTAAATTACAATTGACTAATCTGAATTACAATTGACGCTTTCTGAATTACAATTAATTATTCTGAATTACAAATTACACTTTCTGACTTACATTTTACTGATCTGAATTACAAGTTACACTTTCTGAATTACAATTGAAAAAGGTGTAGAAGTTTTTGATCACATTGTGGCAATTCCACTGAGTCGAAAATGACAGTAACGCTGTGTCACTTCAACAATTACAAACTCATTTGAGGTTTGATTGGCATAACAACAATAATCGTTTCCCATCAGATCAATCCAAATCTATAGGGGGATTTTTATAATAATCAATTTTTGTTTCTCAATATTTCTTAATTTTCACAATAAAGAGTGCAATTTGATGGATGATTCTGAACATAGATACTTAATACTGCAAAAAACAAACTCAAACTCTCATATTACATCACCTACCACTTATACAGGGTGTTTCACAGATAAAGGGAAATATTTCAATGGTACATAGGGGTCACCAAGGTGGTTCTGAAAATACCATATTTGATAGGTCTTAGAGTCTTCATAAAGGAGATACAGGGCGATTTATCGATTTCGTCTATAAGTACTGAACTACCCAGTATATTTTTCTAAAATTTGGTATGGAGCTTATACTTGGGACGTTAAATTCAGTCACCTATCGGGCGAAGTGAAAATCCAGATTCGGCTTCAGGAAAAATTAATAATTGACAGAGTTCATCAAAGGAATCGTGAAGAAGAGGAAAAACTGAACTGGATTTGATGCTTTTTGTTTTCCCGCCACCAATTCTCATCGTAACAATCATAAACAGAAAGCTAAAATTATGTCAATTTCAAGAGTATTAAAATTATGAAACCACTTTCAATTATGATTATTTGATATATTCTTGTTAAATGATCCTTCGAAAGAACTTACTAAGTCTCACAGTCTTTATAACAGAGATAAAAGGTGAATTATCGGTTTGGAATAATTATTCACTTGTCCATAAGTATTAAATTACCCATTGCTGTAATATTTTCTCAAATTTGGTATTGAGCTTACTTGGGACGGTGGATTCATTGACTTATCAGGCAGAATGGAAATACAGGTTCAGCTTCAGGAGAAGTCCCATAGTCTTTATAACAGAGATACAGGGTGAATTATCGAATTATAATTATTTGGTATTATTTCCATTCCGCCTGATAGGTTGATGAATCCATCGTCCCAAGTAAGCTACATACCAAATTTGAGAAAATGTTACTGGTTAGTTTAATACTTATGGACGAGTGAATAATTATTCAAAACCGATAATTCACCCTGTATCTCCGTTATAAAGACTTACACACTTAGTAAGTTCTTTTGAGCGATTTTTTGACTAAAATATCGAATAATCATAATTGACACTGGTTTCATAATTTCAATACTCTTCACATTGACATACTTTCAACTTTCTGTTTATGATTGTTACGATGAGAAATGGTAGCGGGAAAACAAAAAGCATCAAATCCAGTTCAGTTTTTCCTCCTCTTCACAATTCTTTTGATGTACTGTGTTAATTATTAAATACAGTGTGTTATTTTGATATTTCGAATGAATGTAAATTTTTCCTGAAGCCGAAACTGGATTTTCACTTCGCCCGATAGGTGAATGAATTCAACGTCCTAGGTATAAGCTCCATACCAAATTTTAAAAAAATATACTGGGTAGTTCAATACTTATAGACGAATGAATAATTATTCAAAATCGATTAATCGCCCTATATCTCCGTTATGAAGACTCTAAAGACCTATCAAATATGGTATTTTCAGAACCACCTTGGTGGCCCCTATCTACCATTGGAATATTTCCCTTTACCTGTGAAACATCCTGTATTTTGCCATATTATCATATCTTTGTTTTTCCCGCACTAGTGTGGGAAAAAAATCCCTGAATGTTGCGGAAAATGACACGTTTTAACAAGAAGAAACATTTATTATTAAATACTTTTATGAAGATGAATTTCGTCAGGTGTTTCATTTATAAACTGGAATATTTCTTCTTTCAAGAAAATTTTTGCCTTTTTTGGCCTAAATCCAATGTTTTGTTTTTTATATATGCCGTGACCTTAAAAAACTTGCCCAAATCGAGGTTTTTTTAGTTTGATTACACTTTTTAACATTGAGTACCTGGACCAAAGAGTGTTTGGCTTGCATGTTTTGGAAATTCTTCTCGAAACTTCTGGTTCACAGACCGCTCTGACGATTTGACAGCTTTCAAAAACTATCTATCCACTCTTCAATTGTTCCTCACCTTCGGGCATCGAGAACACCGGATGGAACCCGGCATCCAGCAACGCCACTCTCTCCCTGCGGCTCATCGTGTCGGGCGGGTCGCGCGGGTGCTGCGGGTCCGTCCGGCCCGTGCATAAAGCGCACGGCGGCAGGGCGAGCGGCACGCATGCGCACCGCGTCGAACTCGGCCGGGCGGCCTTGCGCGACACCGCGTGCAGCCCGGCCACTTGCAGCAGCTTACGCTTCTTGAACTGGGCTAAGGGGCGGGTGCGCGCGCACTGGTAGTCGGGGGGCGAAGCTGCTTCCGGAGTGGCGCCTGGAAATTTTCATCATAAAATATTGTTGGTATTATTTTTGTCATCATATTTGTTAGCAAATTTAACAGGTGCCAAACAGCCTTTATGGCACAATTGTACTACATTTAAGGCTGAGAAACGTGACAAAACTCGCCTATACCTGAGGTCCGGGGGGGTTAGGAAGAGATAGCAGTGGGCGGTTACATAATAGTCATAAATCAACAAGCATCCTTTTTAGAAAAGAACAACTCACCCGGTTCGCCAATTAGTCAGGGTGATCACCGCGTCCGAATATATATTTATATTGCCAATAATCTGCCTAGCAGATTCCTAGCGAACAATATACTACCTATATTCATATGTTCAGTATTGAAATGAAAATTGAAATGTATAGGTGAAGTATACTTGTATGAACTCTGATCTTGATGAGCTTGGAATTTCCAAAAAAATCATTCGTATCAGTGATATGGGAATTATATCTCTCACAAACAGGTTATATGAATTCATTTCGGATATCATATCCCCATCAGTAACCTGAAGTTCAGTTATTCTGTTTGTGAGAGATATAATTCCCATATCACTGATACGAATGATTTTTTGGAAATTCCAAGCTCATCAAGATCAGAGTTCATACAAGTATAATAATAATAATAATAATAATAATGTTTATTTGCATACAAATATAAAAAATGACTTTACATTAAAAATAGGAATAGCCTACAAATAAACAAAGGGTGAACCACATAGCTATAAGCTGAGCGGGGTATATAAATTATACAATACAAAAGCATATGAATAAAAATAATTAAAATATATATATTTATGAAAAAGTTATATAATAATGATAACAACGAATAAATTGTGTATAAAAATAAAGATATTGGGCAGTGAGTATATCATTTGAAGTGAGGGAAAAAAGTGTTTTGGCATAATCAGATTATTCATGAGATTGATGTCTCTTAGTCAATAAGACTATGAATTGCTTTTCTTGGTATGGAATAAATGAACTTTTTTAGGTTTTGTTTGAATTCATGGACCTTTGTAATGTCTTTGATTTCAACTGGTAGAAATTGGTAAATTTTTGGACCTAGGTAAGAAAAACTTTTTTGACCCTTAGATGTACGCATAAGGGGAATTATGTAAGTGAGATTTTTGTTTCTGGTGTTGTACCGATGATCTGAAGTTTTCAGCTTAGATTTTGAAATATGTTGAGAGATATTGCCACGTAGGAAGAATAATTGTCTTGGATCGAGGATGCCAGATTCATGAAATAATAGATCCGAGGGGTAAGTGAAATCTTTATCGAATATAATTTTCATCAATCTTTTTTGGATTATCGTGAGTTTTTCCATATAGACTTTGCTGACGCCTCCCCAAGCTAGTATTCCGTATGTAAGATGTGGTTCAACTAATGACTTATATAATGTTCTCATTGACTCATATTCCAGAATATTTTTCAGAAATTTTAGTTTGTATATCAAGAATTGTATTTTTTTTTATAATAAAGTCGATATGTTTGTCCCATTTCAGATTACAATCTATCATTACCCCCAGATATTTAATGCAGGGACACAAACTTATTATGGTGTCATTGACGATACTAAGGTTATTATAGGGGGGAACATTTCTCTTATCAATATAAATAGGCATACAAAAAGTTTTATCGAAGTTAATCGTCAATAGTCGGTGCTTGAAAAAGCCATGGATGAGGCGAATATCCTCTTCGACTACACCTTTTCCAATAGTAATTCAGAAAGCGTCATATGCAATTCAGACAATATCATTTGTAATTCAGATTAGTTAATTGAAATTCAGAAAATATCAAATGTAATTCAGAATTGTCAATTGATATTCAGAATGCGTCGTTTGTAATTCAGATTAATCAACTGAAATTCAGAAAGCGTCAGTTAGAATTCAGAAAGCGTCAATTGAAATTCAGAAAGCGTCATTTATAATTCAGAATGTATCATTTGTAATTTAGAATGGGTCAATTGTAATTCAGACTTTGTCATTTGTAATTCAGAATAGTTGATTGAAATTCAGAAAGCATCATTTGTAATTCAGATTAGTCAATTGAATTTCAGAAAATATCAATTGTAATTCAGATTAGTCAATTGAAATTCAGAAAATATCAATTGTAATTCAGAAAACTCCATTTGTAATTCAGAAATATGGAACAGTGTTACCTTTGCATGCATACCTACCTACACTCCATCATTAATGTACCTACTTAATGTGTATAACCTATTGTCCTGGGAACGAATATTCTAACTTCAAATAATTATACATCATCTCATAGAATGAACTTCAAAGACAACTGTATGATTTATTGGAGGAGACTGTGCTCGAGCAGCACAGCATACCACGATTCACCATGCTGCTGCTTTGACTTTAGAAAATATGCCCGTAGGTCGCTGAATGATGGATATTTTTATTTTTTACCTGCTATGTCTCAATTCAATTCCAATATTGTTCGTTTTCATACAATACTCGCTTATATGTAGTTATTGTATTATGAATGAGTTTAATGAAAACAAACGTGTGTTGTTGTATATCCCACATAATATAATTACTTATTAGATTTCGCGGTGAACAACAACTACTGTCTGAATTCCAATCAACTGATCTGAATTACAATTGACGATATCTGAATTTCTATTGATGCTTTCTGAATTTCATTTGACAAATCTGAATTACAATTGAAGTTTTCTGAATTTCACTTGACTAATCTGAATTTCAATTGATTTTTTCTGAAATTCAAGTAACTTATCTGAATAACAAATTACGTAGGCTGAATTACAATTGACGCATTCTGAATTACAAATGACGATATCTGAATTTCAATTGATGCATTCTGAATTTCAATTGAAAAATCTGAATTACAAGTGATATTTTCTAAATTTCAGTTGACGAATCTGAATTACAATTGATATTTTCTGAATTTCAATTGACTAATCCGAATTACATCTGACGTTTTCTGAATTTCATTTGAGAAATCTGAATCACAATTGACGCTTTCTGAAATACATCTGGAAAAGGTGTAGAACTTTTAGTGTCTGCCAGTCTTCATGTGTGTAAAAGATCGCTGTGTCATCTGCATATGTAATTATTTTACCTTTGGTATCGATTTTGAAAAGATCATTCAAGTAAATGTTGAAAAGAAGTGGCCCAAGGACAGTTCCTTGAGGTATACTTCTCCTATACATTTCAATTTTCATTTCGATACTGAATATATCAGTAAGGTATATTTTTATATCATAATACATCATATTATTCTATTCAATTTGAGAGATGATGTTAATTCTCAATTTCAGAGGATTTTGATCTTTCAGCTCTCTTTCTGGATATTCAACAGATATAATTCAATGTTCGACGTGGCAAATAGCCAGGAAAGTGGTTGTTTTCTGTTGAATATTCAGAGTTATATTATATGCCTATGAAGGAAAATGCAAATTCTCTACTTCAAAATATTTTGTTTTCAAATTCTCATCGTGTATGTTCAATAGATGTAATTCAATATTCGTCATGGCATATAGCCAGGAAAGTAGTTGTTTTCTGTTGAATGAACCGTGAAAGGATTGATATTTTCATCACATGGAGAATGCAAATACTCAATGTATTTCTTTATATATATATATATATCCATTTTTTTGTGTTCATAAATATACCTGAGAATGTTCCTTATCAATATTATATTGTTGTTGACATCAAAAAGTGATTGAAATTGTTGCTATGGCGTTTGAGAAAAAATGGCAGCATTTACTATTAATCCCTGAGGGTCCAAAAGAGCTACCTCAGTCACTCAAATGGGGGATTGATAATAATAATAAATTAACTTTATTGTCCGTAGATCAAAAACTTGTTGACACAGCTTAGCATACATAGAACATGAATAAATTTAAAAAATTAAAACATTAAAACAGTTGGAAAAACAGACATTTAAAAAATCATAAGAAATATCTGGTCAATTACATAATAATATACTTGTTGGTATAGGGACAGAAAACACACAATAATAATATATGTATAAGTAATGAAACAATTAAATAAAACCATCATTCAACCACCAGATTATCATCATAAAATTCCTGCAAACAATAGTAGGGTCTACTACTTAGTAGTTTTTTAATTTTTTTCTGAAGCACTCAATATCTACTGGATTCTCTAGTTTTGATTGGCAAATGATTAAATATCTTAATTCCATTATAGATAAACGAATCCTTGATTTGGGAGGAGAAAGGTAAGGGTAATTTCAAATTCTTCCTTGAACTTTGTCTTGTGGAATATTGAGATGAACTCATTTCAAATTTCTGGATATGTTTTTTCACAAGACATAGAGTTTCCAAAATGAACAGAGCTACGATTAAAAGTACCCTTACTCACTGAAGTGCATAATAAATAGTAATGTCAATATTACTAGGTGCGCTCGATTTTCTGTTCAGTTAATTTTGGTTGGTAAATGAGAAAAAGTGCGGCACTCACCATCGGTAGTTGTCTTCGGGGTGGACGAACTGCCCGGCAATTGCCCCCGATAACCATTGATCGCCGTCTGAACGGAAGAGTTGGCAGGATGTTCAGGGCTGATGCCTCCCAGTTGGACAGCTTTCTTGTTGTTCTTGATTTGCTTGTGCAGATCCGTATGCTGACGAATGCGGTATTCCAGATCTGCTATCTGGGCCTGGAGCCATGTCCAACGAGCTGCTATCACCGCTCGGTCCGTGGAATATTTCCATAATGCACGTTTTTGTCTACAACATAAATGGTCACATGACATGTTGAATATAATAATAATAATGAATGTTCTTTTAGCCATTAACAATTTGATTTTTTTTTCATTACCTTCAACTTTTTTCAGGTTATGGTAGAAAATACAACTTCATGAAAAAAAAAAAATGAGATTTTATCTTAGATTTTGTGTCTTCAGTCTTGTTCTCGTTTGGTTAGGTTTGTTGAGGGGGTGTGCTATGCCCTTATCTCTTTATCACCTTCATTGCTGATATTCTTAAGAAGGTCCTCTGCCCTATTTGCCGATGTATCGAAGACTGGAACCTTTGGCATGATAATACACTACACTGTTTTATCACTAACCAAATCGATTTTTTAACGCCTCGACACGTGTTTCGCTAACTATGTTAGCATCTTCAGGAGAAGATTAAAACAGTTTTAATCTTCTCCTGAAGATGCTAACATAGTTAGCGAAACACGTGTCGAGGCGTTGAAAAATCGGTTTGGTTAGTGGTAAAACAGTGTAGTCTATTTGCCGATGATATGTCCACCTTTTTGAACTCTGATTGTATGAATAACCTTAGGTCCAGTGTGGGTGAATGTGCTAGACAGGCTTTTGAGTTTTGAATACAGCACTCAAAATGACTTAGTTCTCAATTTTTCGAAAACAGTGATGATGGTTTATGTACTAAAGGCAATGATCATGAAAATGACCATACAATCTAACAGCTATCAACTACCAAATTCGTTGGAATCAATATTGATGAAAAGTTATCATGGTCTTCACATTTTGATTTTATTCTGATGAAGCTTTGCTACCACAACTTTGCCACTTGGAAACTCAGAAGCTGTGTTGATAAACATATCCTAATATCATACTATTATGAATTTATTCTCTTTCAAGTTACGCAGCTGTGGTCTGGGGTAACTGCAGTAGATTTTACTGGCACAAAAAAGAATTGTCAGAAGTATGCTTGGTAAACCTCCTCATCAGTCTTTTCGGCCGTTGTTCCAGAACCTACAACTGTTGACTATGGCTTCAATTTATGTTTTACAGTGTACATTTCATGTCAAAAAACATATTGGAAATTTTCAGATTGTTGGCAATATGCAAAAATACTCTTTGAGACTCCGACAAACTGGTTATTCCCTAGCATAGGTCAACCTTGACTAATAACAGATGTTACATCATGCCACTAAGGATTTATAATCACTTACCCATGAATGTACGACAAATTGACAGTATTTACAAATTCAAAAGAGAGTTCAGGAGAATTCTTATAAAAAACATATTTTATGGGCTAGATGAATTATTTGGTCACTCCTTCTAGGTATAATTTTATATACATTTTATCTAGCATTTTATATTAATCTCTGTAGTTAGGATAAGGTACTATCATTATTAGTTGTAGTTCCATTCAATCTCGCTGTGCTCAAATGGACTAATCGCCTATTTCAGGGGAATATTCGGGAGGGGGGGGGGGGTATATCTGCATCTCTCAGAGAGGCCAAGATCATTACTACACATGTCAGCGTTTCAAAGTTGAATAAGAGGAAATTTTGGAATCCTATAGCTGCTGCAGTCACTCAACTTTACTGTAAAGAAAAAACAAATATGTGGATTTTTGAGGATCAATAATAAAAGCCGGACTGGAAACCTGACATGTTTTAACCGAACTGCTGCACATGGTACTTTTTTACATTATAGGGATTCCCTTTCGTGCGCTCCAAGCGATAAAAAAAATATATATGTGTCTGATGATGGCCAAGCGCCAAAACTAGTTACAAGTCTTATGTAATACATTTTTTAGAGTGACCTCTGGTGATAAACCTTCTTTGGAATAACTGATGAATAAAGAAGATTTTACAAATAGGCAATTGTCGAAATATGCGTCATTCACTTTACATTATGTACTTATTTCTATCAAAAGCATATTTTATGATGATTTCATGAGGCAAAGTGTTTGTATTGATTGTGAGCTTGATAACTATCACATTTTGGAATTTTTTGCTACATATTTTTAAAAAGAAACCTGTGGCTTTGCTGGCTTCGGGCGAACTCAGCAGAGCCATTTCTTAAAATAATATATTTTTCACTGATTTGATATATCCATATTGAAGACCTCTAATTTTAGGCTAATTAATTACCCTATTTTAGAATTCTTTGCTCCATGTTTCAAACTAAAAAAAAAACGAAACGATTCGTCGAAATATACGCGTTTATTCACTATACATCATGCATATTTATCAAAAGCATATTTTATGACAATTTTTCAAGACAAAGTGTTAGTATTGATTAGGAGCTCAATATCTATTGCATTTTGGAATTCTTTGCTGCATATTTTTTGAACAAACCTGTGGCTTTGCTGGCTTCGGGCGAACTCAGCAGAGCCATTATTGAAAATAAAATATTTTTCACCGATTTGATATATCGGTATTGAAAGGCTAATTTTAGACTAATTAATTACCCTATTTTCGAATTTTTTGCTCAACGTCAAACAGAAAAAATACAAGACAATTTGTCGAAATACGCGTCATTCACTGTACATCATGAATTTCTATCAGAGGCATATTTTATGACGATTTCATGAGGCAAAGGATGTGAAAGTGTCTCAGCTGATGAAGCTGCTGAATTTCGTCAAAGAAATCGGCATGCCCAGCTGATTCATAGGACAAGTGGGCGCACAATGGGCCCGACTGAAGAGGCCTGAGTGCAGGGGTCTACACACCCGCCCACCTGTGCAGAGAAGAAGAAGAAGAAGAAGAAGAAGGTACTTGATGATGTGTATATCTCACAATATTTTGTTGGGCAATAATTAATCCCACAGGCACCCTTTTTCAGAATTTCGAAAAAAAAATCAAAACTTTCAAAATATACATGGATGGGAGTTCTTTTCTATGAACGTGTTCCTCTAATGATACTTGATGATGTGTATATCTCACAATATTTTGTCGGGCAAGAATCAATTCCACAGGCCCCCTTAGTTGAAATTTCCTAAAAAAATCATAACTTTTTCAAAATACACGTGGATGGGAGTTTTTTTTTTCTATAAACGTGTTCCTCTAATGGTACTTGATGATGTGTATATCTCACAATATTTTGTCGGGCAAGAATTAATCCCATAGGCCCCCTTTTTTGGAATTTTGAAAAAAATCATAACGTTTTCAAAATACATGTGGATGGGGGTATTTTTCTATAAACGTGCTCCTCTAATGGTACTTGATGTGTATATCTCACAATATTTTGTTGGGCAAGAATTGACCCCATTGGCCCCCTTTTTTGGAATTTTGAAAAAAAATCATAAGTTTTTCAAAATACATGTGGATGGGGTTATTTTTCTATAAACGTGTTCCTCTAATGGTACTTGATGATGTGTATAACTCACAATATTTTGTTGGGCAAGAATCAATCCCACAGGCCCCCTTTTTTGAAATTTCGAAAAAAAATCACAACTTTTTCAAAATACATGTGGATGGGAGTTTTTTCTATAAACGTGTTCCCCTAATGGTATGCAATGATGTGTATATCTCACAATATTTTTTTGGACAAGAATTAACCCCACAGGCCCCCTTTTTCAGAATTTCAAAACAAAAACATAACTTTTTCAAAATAATCGTGGATGGGAGTTTTTTTCTTTAAACGTGTTCCTCTAATGGTACTTGATGATGTGTATATCTCACAATATATTGTCGGGCAAGAATTAACCCCATAGGCCCCCTTTTTTGGAATTTTGAAAAAAAAATCATAACTTTTTCAAAATACACATGGATGGGAGTTTTTTTCTATAAACGTGTTCCCCTAATGGTACGCGATGATGTATATATCTCACAATATTTTTTTGGACAAGAATTAACCCCACAGGCCCCCTTTTTCAGAATTTCAAAACAAAAACATAACTTTTTCAAAATAAACGTGGATGGGAGTTTTTTTCTTTAAATGTGTTCCTCTAATGGTACTTGATGATGTGTATATCTCACAATATTTTGTCGGGCAAGAATTAACCCCATAGGGCTCTTTTTTTGGAATTTCGAAAAAAAAATCGTAACTTTTTCGAAATACACGTGGATGGGAGGTATTTTCTATAAACGTGTTCCTCTAATGGTACTTGATGATGTGTATATATCACAATATTTTGTGGATGGCAGTTTTTTTTTTCTATAAACGTGTTCCTTTAATGGTACTTGATGATGTGTATATCTCACAATATTTTGTCAGGCAAGAATCAACCCCACAGGCCCCATTTTTTAGAATTTCAGAAAAAGGGGGCCTGAGGGGTTAATTCTTGCCCGACAAAATATTGTGACATATACACATATTAAGAACACATCCATAGAAGAAAACTCCCATCCAACATGTATTTTGAAAAAGGTATAATTTTTTTTCGAAATTCTGAAAAAGGGGGCCTATGGGGTTAATTCTTGCCTGACAAAATATTGTGAGATATACACATTATTAAGTACTATCAGAGGAACACATTCATAGGAAAAAACTCCCATCCAGGTATATTTTAAAAAAGTTGATGTTTTTTCCAAATTCCGAAAAAGGGGCCTGTGGGGTTGATTCTTGCCTGAGAAAATATTGTGAGATAAACATATTATTAAGTAATATCAGAGGATCACATTCACAGAAAAAAACTCCCATCCAAGTGTATTTTGAAAAAGTTATAGAATAGAATAGAAAAACATTTATTGTGTAAATATCTTACATCATATAAATATAATATAAATATACTACACAAAAGGTGGCATTCATTTAAACGTTCTACCATAACACCACTCGTTATGAGTAAAAAGCTCAAAATAATAAAATCTAGATGGTTAACATTCATAAAAACACTAACGAAAACAACAATGTCTTGAATATAAAAAAAATAAATAAATAAAATAGGGTTAATTAATTAATTAATATATACTTTTTATCACATTCTATGTCTGAATACTTAAAAGGTAGTCTCTCCATATTCTTCTAAAGCTAGCTACAGATCTGTTCTGGAGGATTTTTTGGAGGTTTTAGTAATTTCATGGCCAGCCATGAATATAAATTAATTAATGAAGGATCATTGGCTGGTTTCATACTGATGAGAATGTCAAGGTAAATTCATTTTTCAATGCTAATTTTATTTTTCAGAATGTCTTTAGTTTGTGTTGAATTATTTATATTTTTCTTCAATTTATTTCAACAAGTATTACACTAGGAATTCACTATTGTCATTCCCATGTCATTATCTGCCATTTCCCTGAAGTAAAATATCATTCCCGTGGAGAGAATTTTCTAAAAATGTCAAATATAATGAAAATTAAACCATTTTGGAAGAGGTTCTCATTTGTATGAATTTATTGTTATGAATATGAAGCTAATAATGAAGGTTGACAACTATTTGCACTATTTTGACAATGGAACAATTCTGTTGACATATAATTACTCATTTTCACTGCTCCTATAATGAATCAAATCAAATCAAATCAAAATGTACTTTAATGCCTGAAGAATATAAATTCTTATTGACAAAGCGTTTGAGAACTTAGGTACTAATCACATGAGTAAATTTACATAGCGGCCGAAGTCACACGACAAGTCTTATCAGTATGCTGAATATAAATGATAAATATAATATACAAAAATATAAATGAACATACACACATTTGTTGGTAACGGCAAAAGAGCTGCCTTATACCAATGTCAATGTCATACAGGTATATGATAATAATAAAAGTTATAAAATATAATATAATGATTCATTATGTAAATTTTGAAATCAAAGTGTGTACAAAGACTAAGGTCATAGCCTTTTCGGTAATCCCCCAATAAAGATTTTTCTCTTGCAAGCTACTATTTATTTCATGTTAAAAATATATCTGAGAAAATTTGCTTATATAGACCTCTAATCAAAGATTCATGATTAGGTTTTCTCAATTCAGAATTTTTCCAAGCCATGTATGATGAACATCAATTAATCATCCTACTAAAAACAAAAAATGCAGGCACCATACATGTTTTGTGATACACATACAATAGGAATTTTGAAATATTTGGGGGTGTTATTTAGGGGTTTTTAACCACTTGTGGATGCATATTTTGGATGTTTTAATATGTGAATCATCTGTAATAAAAGTCTAAGAAATTCTGGCACCCTTTCAAAAAATTCATTTTTCAAAATACAAAATGTGTGGTGCAGCTTGAATCAAAAGCTAGCTCACGCCACTTATGTGAAGTTGGCGCCGTTTTTTTCGAAAAACTCAATTTTTTTTTAGTTCTGAGTAGATTTGATAGAGTTCTAGAGTTCCTGACTGAAATTTTGAATAGTTCCAGCAAATCGTAGGTGTCATTGGAAAAAATAAATTTTGAGCGCTAACTTCACGCAGCGCCGTTTTTTTCGAGAAAATGAGTTCTGATATATTTTTTTGTTGTATTATAAAGAGTTCTGGAGTTCTACACCTATTTCATCAATAGTTCTGGTGAACTAAGGAAATTATCGAATAATTTAAGGAAATTAAATACGAAAATGTGTTTCTATAGCCAGCATTTCTTGGTGAAATACTATTCCGTTCTGTTTCGTATTGAAGAAAAAGCTATCCAGGAAAAAGGAGGAGGATCATTAGGAAATGTGAAATCTGAAAAAAACGAAGAAAAAAATCAGCTGTCATAAGGTGAAAAATTTATTCCAAAGAACAGGACAGTTCTGATGGGAGTTCTGAGTAGCGTTCGACGAGTTCTTCAAAATATTCTTATTCTGTAGTGACCAATCGATACTTCTTCATTCATCAGCTGTCATAAGGTGCTGACCTCAAAAAACTAGCATTTTCGATAAAAAATTCATTCCGTAAAACAGAACATTTCTGATGGGAGTTCTGAGTAGCGCTCGACGAGTTCTTCGAATTATTCTAATTGTGTTTCAGAGACAAATTGATACTTTTTCATTTATCAGCTGTCATAAGGTGCATATCTTAAAAAACTAACATTTTCGATAAAAAATTGGTACTCAAGAACAGAATAGTTCTGATGGGAGATCTAAGTAGCGCTCGACGAGTTCTTCAAAATATTCGCATTGTGTTTTAGTGACAAATCAATACTTTTTCTTTTATCAGCTGTCATAAGGTGCACATCTCAAAAAACTAACATTTTCGATAAAAAATCAGTACTCAGGAACAGAATAGTTTTGATGGGAGTTCTGAGTAGCGCTCGACGAGTTCTTCAAAATATTCAAATGGTGTTTCAGTGACAAATCGATACTTTTTCTTTCATCAGCTGTCATAAGGTGCATACCTCAAAAAACTAACATTTTCGATAAAAAATCAGTACTCAGGAACAAAATAGTTCTGATGGAAGTTCTGAGTAGCGCTCGACGAGTTTTTCAAAATATTCTCATGGTGTTTCAGTGACGAATCGATACTTTTTCTTTCATCAGCTGTCATAAGGTGCACATCTCAAAAAACTAACATTTTCGATAAAAAATCAGTACTCAGGAACAGAATAGTTCTGATGGGAGTTCTGAGTAGCGCTCGACGAGTTCTTCAAAATATTCAGATGGTGTTTTAATGACAGATCGATACTTTTTCTTTCATCAGCTGTAATAAGGTGTATACCTCAAAAAACTAAGTTTTGGTAAAAAAATGATACTTAAGAACAGAATAGTTCTGATGGGAGTTCTGATCGAGTAGCGCTCGACGAGTTCTTCAAAATATTATCTTGGTGTTTTGGTGACAAATCGATACTTTTTCATTTATCAGCTGTCATAAGGTGCATACCTTCAAAACCTATCATTTTCGATAAAAAATCAGCAGTTAAATACGAAACAGTTCAGCAGCTGATGAAAGAAAAAGTATCGAATTGTCACTAAAACACCATTTGAATATTTTGAAGAACTCGTCGAGCGCTACTCAGAACTCCCATCAGAACTATTCTGTTCTGTTTTATTGAAAATGTTAGTTTTTTAAGATGTGCACCTTATGACAGCTGATAAAAGAAAAAGTATCGATTTGTCACTAAAACACCATTTGAATATTTTGAAGAACTCGTCGAGCGCTACTCAGAACTCCCATCAGAACTATTCTGTTCTGTTTTATCGAAAATGTTAGTTTTTAAGATGTGCACCTTATGACAGCTGATCGATTTGTCACTAAAACACCATTGGAATATTTTGAAGAACTCGTCGAGCGCTACTCAGAACTTTCAAGGTATGCTCCTTATGACAGCTGATAAAAGAAAAAGTATCGATTTGTCACTAAAACACAATGCGAATATTTTGAAGAACTCGTCGAGCGCTACTTAGATCTCCCATCAGAACTATTCTGTTCTTGAGTACCAATTTTTTATCGAAAAAGTTAGTTTTTTAAGATATGCACCTTATGACAGCTGATAAATGAAAAAGTATAAATTTGTCTCTGAAACACAATTAGAATAATTCGAAGAACTCGTCGAGCGCTACTCAGAACTCCCATCAGAAATGTTCTGTTTTACGGAATGAATTTTTTATCGAAAATGCTAGTGTTTTGAGGTCAGCACCTTATGACAGCTGATGAATGAAGAAGTATCGATTGGTCACTAAAACAGAATAAGAATATTTTGAAGAACTCGTCGAGCGCTACTCAGAACTCCCATCAGAACTGTCCTGTTCTTTGGAATACATTTTTCACCTTATGACAGCTGATTTTTTTCTTCGTTTTTTTCAGATTTCACATTTCCTAATGATCCTCCTCCTTTTTCCTTGATAGCTTTTTCTTCAATAGGAAACAGAACGGTATACTATTTCACCAAGAAATGCTGGCTATAGAAACACATTATTTAATTTCATTAAATTATTCGATAATTTCCTTAGTTCACCAGAACTATTGATGAAATAGGTGTAGAACTCCAGAACTCTTTATAATACAACAAAAAAATATATCAGAACTCATTTTCTCGAAAAAAACGGCGCTCGGTGAAGTTAGTGCTCAAAATTTATTTTTTCCAATGACACCTACGATTTGCTGGAACTATTCAAAATTTCAGTCAGGAACTCTAGAACTCTATCAAATCTACTCAGAACTAAATAAAAAATTCACTTTTTCCAAAAAAACGGCGCCAACTTCACATGAGTGCTCACGACCATTTCCAGGAAAATAGGGACTGTAAATTTTTTTTCTTGGGATGCAAATTTGTAATAAATGTGTACAAAATTCTGAAGTAGTTTTTTTTGCATGTGCCATAAATGCTTTAGGGACATCAAAAAATCTTGTGGAGATTCATTAGTGAGCTCTAAGTTGTAATTTGATTTGTTTTGGTAAGAAGGTGGAAGAGGGGTGGAGTGGATGCTACAAAATCAGACAAATATCTGATGGTGATCAGGGAATTTTTTCCCATTCATTTCAGTAGAATTAATAATAAAATTCATAATTTGCTTTGAGCTAGTTTTATCCACATCCTGTCTCTGCGGCCTGCCTTTGGGGATCTCATTCATTGCTGGATGATGTCTTGTTGCTATTTTCACACTTTCATGTTCATGTTGGATTTTACTTTAGTGCAGAAAATGATCAACAAAAAATCCATAATATGTTCAATGAAGAACCTTTGGTTAGCATTAAATTATGATGTGGTTCTGCTAGCTCAAGTGCAAAAAAATCAGCAATGAGCACGGATGAGAGCCTTAAATTATGGTAAAATTAGTTTTGTAACTTTTTATTTACATAGAAGAGCAATAAATTTAGCAATAGGGTAATGAATTTGCCTTAAATTATGGCTGAAGAGATTGAAAAATCTATAGTGGTACTGCTAGCATAATGGGGGTCATGAAAATTAGAATTAATAATTCTTTTAATAAATAAAAATTCTTCTGATGTTCTAATCACATTGCACTATTCCACTGTCTAGAATTCATATTCATCATGAGGATTAAATTTTCTAATTATCTTATATATTAATAAAAATTAATTGAACACAGTAATACTTACATACTGAGATATTGTTGATGGGGATTATTATAACTTATCATTTCATCACAGCTTTCACCTCCTGAACTACTCTCAGTAGCTTCAGAATCAATGTCCCTCTGTGTCAAACTAGTTTGGGTTTTTAATTGTCCAACAACTCTTTGTAATTCACTTTTTGTTTCAATAGGCCATGGAGTTATGTTGACTGCACCAGAAGTTGTACTTCTAGGGATAGGTACTTCAATAGATCCAGATCCAAAGTACTTTGGAGCACTTTTCTGTCTGGCATTATTATTGGCTTGTAGAATTTTACTCATTTCCAACTTTTTCACCATGGTTTTTGCAGAGCTGTATGACATGGGCTTTAACTGCATCAAGTCTCTATTATGTAAAATTGACCCAGTAAATAAAGAATCTTCATAGGAATCCTTTGGTTTTTTAAGAGTTCTATTAACATTTTCAAAAACACCAGCAATTTCAGTAGCAACATGCTGGCCTAAGTATCGAGACTGTAATTTGCACACACGCCTTCTTAGGAAGTCCAGCCTTCTCTCTACCTTGGCATGTTTCTTCTGTAAAGCTACAAGCACTTCTTTAGCTTGAGATTCTTTTTGTATCACCACACTATCGAGCTCATCTTGCTGGTCTTCAATTGTCATATTCATCACATCAACATTTTCCAGTAATTCTTTTTCAAAAGATGACAAATTGTTAGTTAGGTCTGCTCCACCAATTGGAAATATTTCTTCCCCTTCACTGTTCAAATCATTGGCACTATTATTCAACTGCTCACTACCCTCAATAGATTTAATAACTTGCATTATGTCTTCAACATCTCCTGTCGTTACACCCTCTGCATCTGGTAAAACTGAATTCAAATTTTGCAATAATTGCTCCATATCATTGGAACTTTTATCTCTACTCATGAGAGAAATATTCAGGTCAGTGTTTTGGAGGCCCATTTTATTCCCTTGGTCACCCATAGAGGAAGGGCTCACATTCATATTAATATTTGAAGCAGGGAGGTTGTCAATTTCCGAGGCTGTAACTATTTTGTCCCAGTATTTTTCCAATAATTTGTCTTTGATAATTGAAGCAGTGTTATTTATTTCAGAACTGTTTAAAGGATACTCCTGCACATCTTCACCTCTATCTTTGGAAAACAGCTGTTTATTCACTTCAAATTTGTTTTTAGTAAAACTGTTTATTGGATATGCTGGTTCTAAACAGGATTTTGGTGGTAAATCAAAATTCTGTGTCTGTACAGTTTCGGTTAAAGCTGGGGCCATGACCACCACATGGGAATGCCTCACCGAGGCTGTACGCAATCCCATTCATCCAGTGTTTTCAGCATCAAAATAGATTAGGTCACAACTACACTCATCAGATATTCAGGGGTCCAATTTCAGCTCAAATCACATGAAAGATAGGAATTTCATGTTACATAAATGTTTTGGAATATGCTGAAAATGAAATCAATTGCCGGTTGATTCCATAACAAAAACAAACGCAAATTTATGACAATTATCAAAGGATATGTGTTAACAACGGAGATAAAACCCATCAACAAATAGGTGAAAAGTGATTACAATGGCTTTTTTGGTTTGGATTTGAACATGGATGAAACAAAAAGGCACACTCCCACGTGACGAAGGGAAGCTTATGAAACGTAATAGGTATTATGAAGCTTGCTATACAGAGAATACTGGTCCAACATTGCACCACTTTTAGCACTGATTTCAGTACGCGTCCATGTCTGTTCACTAGTCACAGTTTAGAACTTCACTATATTTTAACTAGAAGAACGATATAATATCGACAGGGTCACGAAAACCGAAGGAAATCACTTTTCCAATTATTTCCTCTAACAACAATGGCGACGAGACGACATTCCTAAAAACAGCAAAGCAATCACACATTCGGAGGCGGAGCGGAGGAGACGTATATAGAGACTAGAGAGCCGAGAGATAGAGAACGGTAAGTATCGATACTAAGTATCGATATATCGATACCATAGAGATGTTCTGCAATATTTGACAGCCAGAAAAAAAAATTAAATCGTTTTGCTCGGATTATTGATTCAGAGCTTTGATAGCTTTTTGTTGAATGACTGAAGACTGAAGTTCAGTTATTGGAATTGGAGTTTGAGCATTGGTTTCTGGTTTGGTTTGAGTTTGAATTAAGTTGCTCAGTTTAAGCAGCACAGTTTGCAGTAGTAGACCGAGGATTATTAACAGACCAGTAGACTAGACTCCCAAGAATCTCCCTTTCAGTCCTCTCACTCTGCTCTCAGATGCGGTTACTAGAAATATGGCCCATTGCCTATACGATATCTCAACAAAAATGGGACCAAAATGAGAGGTACTCCTTGAATCTATAAGGATGGAAAGTGAAGGATGGAAACAGCCATATTGGTTCAATTGGTTTGACAAGTTTCGTATCATTTTTTCCCTACGTTGGCAACGCAACGCCTATTGGTCGATTTCGATACCTATAGAGACAAAAGTTGGTCACAGATTAACCAATCTGTGAGTTGGTCCCGCTTTGAAGACAGCTATGCTTCATATATGAGTAGTATATACATGATCTTGCACGACGATTATCCAAGTATCGATACATTTTTATTTGGTTCCTATAAGTAATACTGATTTAGGCAAAATTGAATCTTCACAAGTACCACCATTTTCTTAACCTTATCAAATATGTACAAAATATTCAATAGTGGCAGAAAAGGTACAAATGAAGAAAACAAACCCTGTCATCTGTCATTCTATTCTATGCTTATTTCTTCGTCTCGAATATTTCAATGTTAATTCATATTCGTCTTCACAAATTCATGTGATCAAAATATCTGCAGAAAAACCCCTAGAAATCAAGTTGAAATGTCGCATTCACCTACCCTGAACACTCTAACACCATAGATTTAGCGACAAAACCGCTGAGATGGCAACCCTCTGCAGCCTACTTTACCGCAGCTCATGAATTAATAGTGAATAATAGAATGAGAAAGGAGGCTACTTGTTTTAAACAATTTAACCTTACTCCATCTAAATGATCCTTTCACCAGAAAAGTATATTTATCGAATAATCACTTGAGAAAACAATAAAAAGAGTAGACCGTCGCCGGCCTTGAACACGGGTCGCCAGGATGACGTTTGAACACACAATCAACTACGCCACGCACCTACACTAGAATCATACTATGAAGAATGTACCGCGCTGTGATGATTATTTGTTGTTTCCTGTCTCGGACGCTTCCCTGACATTGCTGTCCATGTCACGTCAATCATTGAGAAGTTGAGATTAAAATCGAATCTGAATCAAATCCTTGGGTGCTACGAGTGCCTAAAGTTTTCGAACCATTCCCAAATCTCATTGCCAGATTGATAACGGTATTCTATGTTCAGTGTTATTTAACGACAGCCTCGGGTTCACAACCAAACTTTTTACGTTTTGCTTTTTACGTTTCGTATTCTGATTGGTGAAGCAAAATCTGTAATTGAAATGACGCAAAAAGCTGAAAATATTCAGCTTTTTGCGTTGCAAGAAGCTATCGTCTGTGGAAATAGTGAAAATAGACGAATAATATGGAACATTCTGTAATAATATGGAAGTTATGATAATGTTTTCATGATTTTTTTGTGAATCCACAGAATAGTAGATAGGTAAACTGTTCAATTCATCATTTTCTTGTTGAAGATTGATTTTTCTCTTCAAGTATTGAATGAGAATCAATTTTCTTCACCGCCAGTTCTATGAATATTATTAATTATCTGATTAATATTATTGTTATGATTATTTAATTCATTTCAGGATGAAAAACAAATATCAAAACCAAGGCAACTGAGCCATAAAAAGTCACGTTGAGTTTTTGTTGTTGTGAATGATATTTGCATAGGTTTAGTTCACGTTTAATTTTAGATTCTGCTTCACCAATCAGAATACGAAACGTAAAAAGCAAAACGTAAAAAGTTTGGTTGTGAACGCCGTTTAATGAATCACTACACAAATGATAACAGTTGGCTGACGCCATGCTATTAGTGGACCAGAATGAAACTCTATGACCAAACATAGCCTCCACAATTTTATTGCGAAAAATAATCATCAAAAAAGTCGAATTATATCACGCGATGGGAATGGTTCGAAAGATTTAGGCACTTCTGCTCACACTGACAGAAATCTAAAACTCGACTTGTTCTGCGCCTGACGTCAACTAGTCAACTGCGATATAACTGTCATTGTCATTATTTGTTTTCCGTGACCGATATCTCGGAATTCAAATATTAAGTTCGAAAATTGAATGAAATAATTTCAAAATGCCTACTTGTGTCGTTTTTGGTTGTCTAAATTCCAACAAATATACAAAAGGCAAAGATATAAAATATTTCCGTTTTCCCAAAAATGAAGACCTCATAAAACAATGAGGAAGCTTGCTGCCGACCGAAAATTAACTTAAATAATGGTACGTACCTTATATTCCTTATATCCTTTTTCCTAAATGACCTATCCTCTGATCACATAATCACATTCTTTATATTGCAGCACGTAGTTGTTCCAAAGTTCCAAACGAGTTTGAAAATACAGCTGTTGATTGACATACCCCAAAAAAATCACAGATATTTGCAACAAGATGCCGTTTCTACAGAACATCTACCTTCTGATATCAGGTTCAAAATAATGGAAAATTAACCCACGTGAAAAAAAACGGCAAGTTCAAAAATTTTTAAAAAAATCTGGTATATCAAGGTTTTTAATTGAAAACTTCTGTGAGATTTTGATGAAAATCTATCGAACGAATTTTGAGAAAAAAAATTAAAACTCCTTTTTTTATAGGTTTTTTTTAGTTTTCACAAAAACTGTTCGATGAATTTTTGTCAAAATCTCACAGCAGTTCTTAACAAAGAATTAAAATATGCCTGATTTTTCTGAAAATTTTTGAACTTACAGTTTTCCTACAATAGTGAATTAATCATTGAAAGTTGCTGTAAAATCTATATTATTCGAAAAATATGATATATTTTGATTATTCATGTAAGATGTAACGAATACGGATTACTTGAATCCTATTTCAGTCATAAACGATGATTTATTCGATTTTAAAATAGGGTTTTCAAAACCCCTCACCAAATTCCTCTCAAATAGATTAATCGCTCCAGCAGGTGCTGCCTCTGCTGGTAATAGGCATAATCTAAAGTAGTTTCGCTACTGCCCACGAGTATCGCATAAAATGTCTGACCATCATAATATTTGTCGTACAGCGTTGCCAATACGCCTAGACAAAGACAACCGATAAATGCTGATTGTTTCTAGCAAATCCTTCAGAAAATCGTCTATGGATACATTTTCCCTTTTTGACTTGTGAATATTGAATACATTCGCGGGCCTAATGAAGGGGGGGATGGGTCGTGTTGAATTATTTCATATTCATATGAAGATTAAGTCAATTCAGTTGATTATTGTGATGAACAATGAATGCTTCGCAGATGAAATTTTTTATTAATAAAGAAAATGCCTTTCGAATTAGAAGTTTGCTTTTTCGGACATGCATCATGCACTTCATGTACCGGGAAGTGAAAATTTTATCCGAAATAATAATCTTCATCTTCATTGTGTCATCAACTGGCTCATGGAAGTGCCCCAAATGTTAGGGGCCTCTTCAGATTTTTATTATCCACCATAATGCCCATCTATTGAGGTTTTCATGGTTATTCCTCTAGAAAACAACTAACCATTTAACTTTCATGTTTCTCAATTCTCTATACGGTCATTATAAAAAAATTTCCATCTTCATGTAAGCTATCTCTATGGTAAGGATTCCTCTTGTTACTTAATTAATTTTTCTTATTGTATATAGGACTATGTAATTTCTTATTAGGCTGATGATGGACATAATTATGTATGCTCCCTTGATGTGATTATTCACAATGAGCATTAGGTTGAGCATTTTTCCCAAAAATATGTAATTTATGGTTTTAAGCCTAGCAGCACCTCGATTTCCTAGAAGTGGTTTGAATTCCACGTAGGTCTCGCTCACCATAACTCCGCACAAGTTTCGACTTCTGGGGTGTTGATTCCCATCGAAGTAGCGATATACAATTTTTATAAAATTATATAAAACACTAAAAATTAAAAATAAAACGAATATGTATTGAGAAGGTACAATATTTTCTGATCGATTTTCCTCGAAAATGATACATCTCTGATTGATTCGGAACAAGAGCAAATCTTGGAATGGTTTATTTTCACTGCATTGGGCATGGAAAGCTCGATGCGAGGCTCGATGGAAAGTTTAGTTCTTGTACCGAATTGCATTATTATATCACATGGCGTTTCGGAAATATTCAAGAAATATCATATTTAGGACCCCCCTTCCAGGGGGCTGTAGCTCCCTCATATAAGAGACATTTATGTTCATCTGAACCAATGATATATAATAGTGATGATATAAATATTTCCGAAATAAGGCGATTCTCATCAAGAACAGGATCTTTATTAAACCAGACCCCTCCTCTATTCTATAGGTATATAACTCAACTATTATAGTCTTGCGATTTTCACCAAATTCTGATCGGTATCAATAATCATCAATATGATCAGTTTTTCAGAGATGAACATCCTTTTGGACATTTGAACCTTTCAAAGGAAATGAAAAGAGGTTGATATTTTATGAAATTATATTAGGATTTTTTGCAGGTAAACTAACTTCATAGTATTGCTCCTCATGTTTTCTGCCTCGGAAAATACTGAGTTTGAATCAACTGCAAATTCTGAAACGTTCAATGATGATTTGAGACAAAAAAACAGGATATACTTTCATTTTTGTACTCTCTGTTTCCGAAACGTTCAAAAACCAAAAACAGTCTGTATATGTTTAGATCTGCCTGTTCCTTTGAAACCTTTTATAGAAATTATATGAAAATATTCATATGAAGGTTT